GTGCAGGTGTGTGTGTGTGTGTGTGTGTGTGTGTAAAAAAAAAAAGTCTCTCTGGGCATTGTGGAAGGAAAGCAGATGGTGCTTGGAGTAATGGGGCGAGAAAGCATGCTTTTTAACTGTGCTTCTGTTTTTAATACAAACACACACATCATCAATCTCTTTCACAGCATCAAGCTGCTACACGGAGAGTTGTACCTCATGGGGGCCAGGGTGATCTTGTTCAGGAGGTTCTGGTGGAGCTCCTTGGCCACATTGAGGCCGGTCCATTCCACAGCCACAGAAGAGGCCAAACACAGAATGATGCCAAGGCAGCACAACATGCTGAACACCAAAAGATACCACGAGTGACTGAAGCCACAGTCCTGTAACAGCACATACATGCAATTAAACATTGTTTTCATGATGCTGGGAAAAGTACAGCAGTGTGTTGGAGATATATATATATATATATATATATATAAAAAAAAAGTGTGAAGTGTATAATATTTACTTCCATGACAACTCTGTCGTTTCCTTATCAACTGATGGACAAACACGCTTACTTTGGCTTGACTGGTTTGCAACATTGATAATACAGTAACTGCTCACTATGCACGTGAATCCCCACTAGTAACATCAAACAGTCCACTTGTGTCATTTCGTTGTCAACGTGTTAATGCTAAGTGTGTGGTGTGCAACAGCAGGCTGGCAGCCGTACGGCGCCGCAAAGAGACAAAGGAGACAGCCATGGGTCAGTAATTACATTTGATAGCAGCAACTGGACTTGGCTGTGTCTACGTGTTGATTAGATACACTTGCAGGGACTCGCTGCACTGAAGTTTATCAAAGCATCCTTGGGCACCAAGCACATGGTTTATCTTACACTTAAGTTAATATGAAGTGTGTCGAGTGGAAAAAAATAAAAATAAGGGTGGAGGATGAGGTGCCGTTCAGAGTTCGTAGCTTCCACATGACCATGAGAAATGTGATCTGGTATACACACACACACACACACACACACACACACACACACACACACACACACACACACACACACACACACACACACACACACACACACAACCTATGTATATATTTACACCTATAATTAAACATTGATACCTGATCTGGCTGACGTGAAGCAAATGTGATTGCAGGACTGTCAGTTCAACCTTCCTGTTCTAATATTCATTGTGTTTTGTTTTTTTCTTAATAGCAGCGTGAATGTGTGTGTAAGTGTGTGTCTGTCTGGTAGATTTTACACTGAGGATAACAAATGGTTGCAGTAAGTCGTAATGATTTTCACTTGTAAGGCTGATGAGTCCCACTGTTCATTTATATGTTTGTACATTTGTCTCACTTCAAGTATTGACATTCTTCCTCTTACTTTCTCTGTTTATCAGTGCATTCGTTTTCCTGTTCTAATGAAGGAGCTGGCATGTGGTCGCTTCAGGGTTTGTTAAAGAGCACTCCATCTGGAGCTGGCAGGCAGTGGCTGCGCTGATGTTTTCGGTTCAGTACGGCTCAACGGTGATTCATAGATTAGCGCCTACTTGGTTATGTAAATTTGTGGTGGCCTGCATTTCAAAAAGACATTGATCTGAATGATTCATTCGCAGTGGAAGCAAAGAAAATGTGAATACAAAGCAAACAGTCAAGCAATCACAGTTATAGTTTTGCATATAGCACCAAAATGGACAAAATATGATGTGATTGCTTAAAATGTTTGTTGTTAGTGCTGCGTTGCAAGACTGCATTGTCACATGGCACAAAAAGGCGGGGTCAGCGACCGCCGTACTGACCGTTTTTCTTTGATTGTTTTATATTGTGACCTCGAAGCGTACGCAATACACTATAATACTGACTGCAGTTTGGACTTCATGAGTCGGTTGAGACTTTGTGATGAAAGGCTATCTAAATCAATTTGACTTGACTTGACTACTGCAGCAAGTGCATGTTACAGACAGACTACAGCACTTCCCAAATTCTGAACGAATTTGAGTTTTGTCACTGCGACAGGAAAGTAAATCGGTTATAAACCGAGGACTGCAATGATGTTTTCAGCATTATTATTACGATGATTTCACCTCGACGCACAGAATCCTCAGTTTTCCGGCCAACCGTGGTTACGAACTGCGCGGATTGAAAATGGTAGACAACCGTGCATCAAATGTGGGTCTTATGCCATGACAGCATTGGGCAAACGTATGGACGTATACAACACCCAATCCTCTTCCCTCCCTCCCACCCACCCCCCAAAAAAACTGTTTTCCTCAACGTGTCTGGACACAAATCCAGAATTTTTTTCGTCGTGGAGGTGGACTTTTTTTTTTCTAGGCATTGTGATTCAGCACATTTTTTGATCAGTATTTGCATGCTCTATCTGAAGGAATTCAAGTAACATCTCTTTGTACACTGCTAGTCAAATATATCTGAAAAAAATAAATAAACATTCCTCTCCCTCACCTGAACAAGTGTACAGTTGTGCGCTGTGGCGTCCGACTTGGCCGTGATGACACGTGACGTCCAGTGTGCCAGCCAGTAATCAATGGACACCATGAGGGTGTGTTTTAGGAGCTGTGACAGGAGGAGCAGGGTAAGAAGCAGGATCCCAGCCGAGGACAGGTAGGTGCCACAGGAGCGCCAGGGTATGGTGGCTCGTTGACGCATTACCTGCGACAAGTTGTCATCATCATCATCACTCTGCAAGGATTCTTCTGGAGACAAAGAAAGAGATGAGTTCACTGGAAGGATGGAACTTACACAACATGTCTGATAAAGAGCAACACCCTCCTCCTACCTCGAATGAACTTAATTTCTTTATTTAGCTGCGCTCTCCTGCTGGAAATCATTGTTGCGATCCCATACTCCCAAAAATCTATTTGGCACATTGCTCAGATTGTTTTTCTAATCTCTGTCTTAATTAAGGACCCCACAAACCAAATAAAATCTAGACAAAGTAATCAAATATAACTGCAATATCTACTGCCGCTTAGGTGTACATTGATTAGGGTTTAATGAATAATGTGTAAGTTTATCACAGGCAATAGAGTTTCTCATGCCAATATTTATGCGGTTGGGACTTGTGCCAAGAACCCATGATAATGTCATCATCAATCTGTGGCTTGGGTTCTTAGTTTTTGGTTCAGTAGAAATATTAATTCAGCTCCAGAGTCCTATTCACAGTGCTGGCAACCACAGTAACAATGTGAAGCATTCTCTTGCATAGCGCTTTTCTATAGCTCGGGTTCTCAAAGCGCATCATACTATTACCTCATTCACCTACTGATGGCGCAGCATCAGGAACAACCGGTGGGTTGTGCTGCTTGCATAAAGACAAGACTTAATTGCAGAAGGGGAAAAAAATACACTCAGCTACAGTAAGCTCAAGGACTGAAAGCCCTTCTCTTCACCATGTCGACATTTAACTGTTTGTTGGCAGTAGTGCTTTGACCCCTCACCTTCCTCATCCTCCTCAGTCTTAGCAGTCTCTCTGGAGTACATTGCTCTCCGCAGGTTTTTCCTCTCCATATCTGTCATGCTTGATGCCACTGTCTCCTGTGGAGAGGAGATGGGGGGGAAAAAAAAAACATGGTCTCCCCAAAATACAAGAGAAAGCAATATTGTTTGCCCATTAGGCAAACACCGAGCCAATCTAAAGTTCATTACACAAAACAATAAATGTCTATGCGTTCGCTTAAATAAGCACCTGCGAAAGTACAGCAACAGCAATTCAAAGCAATTAAGGATTAAATTGCAGTGCAAGTAGCTGCTGATTGATTACCGTCTCAAACTCTTGGTCCTGCCTGTGCATCAGCATCTTCCACTGCTCAAAGAGCTCAGGTTCCGACTTCTGGATGTCCTTCAGTGTACCTTCAGTCTGGATGGTGCCATCTTTCATGGCAATAATCTTAAACACACACAAAATGCAAGGCCTAATTTTATACCTAACTCTGTTAAATCAGCGTATACACACACACACACACACACACACACACACACACACACACACACACACACACACACACACACACACTCACATGCTGTATCCAAAAGTCTCACCCAGTCTGCATGCAGCAGATACTGCAATTTGTGTGTGACCAGCACCACGGTCCTCTTCTCCTCTCTCAGCAGCTTGAGGATACCGTCTTGCATGAGATGGTCACTCAAGTGAATGTCTAAGGCAGAGAACGGGTCGTCCTGTAAAAAGACATTCCAAAGTGTGACAAATTCAAGGAATACCCTACATTGGTGCCTCCGCGGGCAACATGGAGCTGCCAGAACTAAGTCGTCTACAACGATCAATGTTCAAGGTCCAAAGTTCACTCGTCATTTTAATTTCTTACAGGCTATTGTCCATCCTAGGGTCACTTCAACAGAAACTTTTTGCAAGGAGGGCGTATTATATCTATGACCAGTAGCCACATTCCGATAAGTACCTAAACGTTACCCAATAAATTGCGCACACTGGTTTCCACAAATGTAAAACTATTCTTACTAAAAACAATTTCTCTGTCATTCAGTTTTGAGTCAGTGGTTGACTCACCAGAAAGACAACATTGGTCTGCTGATACAAGGCTCTGGCCACACTGATACGCTGCTTCTGTCCCCCCGAGAGGATGATGCCCTGCAACAAAGGCAACAAGTTTCATGAGAGATGAGATGATGTCAGCTTCAGTCACAGCCGGGAACAAATAACACCATTAAATGCATGAATGTGTCCAGCCTCTTGGGGTGAGACCATGTTATAACCTGCATGGCAAAGCACAACATGAGCAACCATTGATCCAACCCCCTGCGAACGCCACCGTAACATCTTAACAGTGCAGCAATGATGACAAATGCTGCTGTCGTGCAATTCAACGAGCCCCAGTGAAATGAGCAATGACCAGATGAGGCAATAAAAAGCCCCAAAGAGGAATCCAAATGAATTGCGCTGCGGGTTACTCACCCTCTCACCGATTTCTGTCTGGTCACCCTGTGGAAGGATGTCGATGTCAGGCTGAAGAGAGCAGGCCTCGATGACAGCTTTGTATCTGGTGGAAACCAACACAAATAAAATACTGAAAAGGAGCTAAACAAGGTACCATACCCACAATATCACCCAGAATGAAACTGTAGCATTGCTATTTCCTCTACTGTCCGATACACTTGACAGTGATGCATCTGTGGTGGACCAGAAACTCAAGAGCATTGCTTGGATTCAACACATGGTGGAAAAAAAAAATCGGAATATTTACTATAGCTGTACACTTCATGGATGATGACAAAAAATAAAATCACTTGGGCCACGAAACAGCATGGAAGTTAAAAGGTGGTTTGTGATCAAATGCAAACTGGAGATAATCAGTTCTCACAAATCACTACAGCAACCAAGCGTAGGAAGCAGCTTCTGAAAATGGACCAATACATCCGAGCAACAAAAGTCATTATCAGAGATTAAAGCATGTGACCTTTCAAAAGGGCCATGACCAAGTCCGATAATTAAAGTTATTTGGTTCCTGAGCAGGCCCAAAAACATCTGCTTGTAAGTATTAACACAGCAACGAGCACTTAAAAATCTCTTAATGGCCTCGTGTTCTGATTACTGTCGACCTTTTCATTCAAATCATCCACCTAAAACTCTGGCCACGTGGGGAATACAACTTTGTGTTCGTGCTGAGTTACAACATAACTGTATTAGTCTGTTTCACTTAACACTTCTACTAGTGTTGAAATTCAAATAATTGGAGTAAAACTGTAACCTAATGAGTGGTGCCAGATGTGGACTAAAATGGCTAATTCATTTAAACTAAACAGTAGTTGGATTTCAATTTGACGGTATTGACATTTTATGTTGAGAAAGTCTAAAAAGACAAATTTGTCGTGGAAAAAAAAACATGGAGTTGCCTCTCCCATGACTCATCTGATAATTTGGTAGCAGAAAGTAGCCTGCGCTCGACATGGAAATGGGCTCATCAAAATTTTCATTTCCTGCTTCAACCCCCAGTGCATCTGCAAATTTGGTTAAAAAAAAGTAGACAAAGTTTTACAATGGCTAAAAGAAAGTTTATTTTGCAATCTTTTAAGACATTTTTATAGGACCCAAGATTGTCGGGTGTTTGACGCCCTTTGTCGGTGAGGTGCAAAATCATGAGGAAAAAAACAGCTCTATATTATCTTTCTGTGTGTACTCTGCTGAACACGATTTTGGTGTATTTGATCAAGGTGCAGGTAGACAAATTTGGCACTCCGCGGATGGGTGTTGCGGACGTCATGTTATTTCACCCATAAATATGACATAAATGTCGGACAATCCTCTGAAGCATATAAATCAATTAAACGAATTATAATCATCATCTTAAAAATCATTTTAATACCACCCCGTCACTATTGCTGGGATGTGTGCAGGGGGCAAGGCCAACAGAGTGGTGGCCCCAGGCATCCACCTGAGAGGGGGCATCCACTTTCACTTTTTGGGTCTTTTAGCCCATGTCTCTGTATTCACAAATGCAGAGGTGATTCAAAAGATAAAACAAAAGTAAAAATGAGATTAAGATTAAAGGATGAGTATACTTTATGCCTGAAAAGGAGAGCCATTACAAAAGCACAAAAGCACCACACTTTTGCTGTTTGTCTGTTTGCTGGAATCGAACCCATTACCTCTACACACACACACACACACACACACACACACACACACACACACACACACACACACACACACACACACACATACACACACAAAAATGTTCCCATTTTACCTGGTTTTGATCATTGGCATCTCAAACGTGATGTTCTCTACGACGGTGGCATTCAACAGCCAGGGCTTCTGGGAAGCGTAGGCCACTGCACACCTCTTCCTACCAAAGATGTCAAATGCAACACAAGACTCATGGTAAAGATTAGAAAGATTTTCGTCTGTGGAGACTGCTTGGTGAATTATGCATGAACAGCATTCAATTCCATTAAAAGGTCACTCAGTGATCATTAAGGACTGAGATGTGTTTGTCAAGTCGATGTGCAGCTCAGAGTCAAGGCAGTCCGCAAAGGGAGAGGAAATCTATTATCTTTAGTTTAGAGATAAACACGAAAATGGCTGTTTGACTGTGCTGATAATGATGATGCGTCTCCACGGAGACCGCCTTGGAAATGACATTGTGTGTTTCAAGAGCTCACCTAATGTCACCATCACCAGCTGTGTCTCGATCTGTGGGACTGCAGGGAATATATAGAACAGATGCATTTACCAAAAAACATATATACGTTATTAATTATTCTTCATATCATACAGTACATCAGTCCTGTATTGATGAATAAAAAGCACTTCTTTATACATGCTTTCATCTCGATTGTCCTTTCTGTGGTTTGCCTTAGAAACGACTGAATGAGAAATGTCTGCATCTCAAAAATCCATGACAAAATACACCAAGGTAGATCCACAATGCACAAATCCACCTTGGATTATTCTGTATTTTTAAAATGCTATAAAAGTATTCAGTTTGAATACCTACTGCAAATAGGTAAAAATCTACAAATGGTTCCATTACCACCTCAAAATGAATAATGGATACAGTACCAACTAATACTTTTACCTTTGTTAAATATGCAAGTGCATAATCAGATTCCTCAAATAAATTAGGGTAAAATATTTATTTTGAAAAAAGTGTCAATGAAGACATTACTGAATCGCAACAACGCACATATACATACAGTACGCACACATACACAACCAATGTAAATATAAAATGCAGTTTTTAAGTGGTGATTTTAATTATTAAAAAACAATTCAAAGCTACATGGCCCTGTGTGAAAAAGTACCCCTAAACCTAATTACTGGGTGGGTCACCCTCAGGAGCAAAAACTGAAATCAACTCAAATCAATAGCTGGCAATGAGTCTTTCACATCTCAGTGATGATATTGTTGCCCACTCATTCTTGCAGGATTGCTTTAATTCAGCAACACTGAGGGGGTTTCGAGAATCATCTGCCTTTTTAATGTCATACCACAGCATTTCGGATTTCGGATTCAAGTCTGGACTTTGACTAAGCCACTCCGAAACCTTGATGAGAACATTGGATGAGAACTTCAACTATACAGGGCTGAGCTGCAATTAATGCTCAGTTGTGCATATGCTCTGTTATGTTTGTTTTTTTTACAGTGCACATTTTCAGTTTGCAGTACTTGTTAGTGCAGATTATGAACCCTTACCCAAGAGTTTGAGGACACCTACAAGCCTTTATTCAAAATTGTAATTAAGGAGAAAAAAAAAGTTTTGGACATATTTACATACACACCTTTCATCACCCTCTGACTCCAGATTGGGTAGGCTGCAAATAAAATCAGAGGAAATGTTATAGTTACAGAGATCAGAATACAGTAGGAGGTCACCATACGTTAACTCACACAAACTCATTCCGAGGCCATTAGAAATGCTTGGTGGGTTGTTTACGGCTTTGCACAGGCTCACTTGAAGCCTGCGTGTATTTTTAGGGCGCACCAATTGCCATTTGCCCAAAGGAGCTGACGGCTCACAACTGAGCGCTTCCCGATAGTGCATGCTGATTTATGGCAACTGGGAAATGGCAGCCACTACACCTGTGAGGAAGTGAAATGTCGCTGGCCATTTGAGAAGTAATGACATGACACACACACCTACACACACGCATACGCACATGCACACAACAAATGCATAAAGACAATGGAGAGTATTACCAGGTACAGTAATTCCAGCAGGGTATGAAGCATACTAGAAATTACGCAAGTGTAATGATAAAACTGTACTTGTAGTCCTGATTTGCAAAAGTAACCATCTTGATTCCCCACTGAAGGACAGTGGACTGAATGACGTGATTAGAAATGAGAGAAAATGGGGTTTGCATTTTTGATTTCACCATGTGTCTAGCAACCAAGAAAACATTGCATGAGTGTCAAGTATGAATATTAGCTGGTGGGTGCACATACATGTGTGAAGTGACATTTATAATCTGAAATGCATAGAAGGGCTCTCTCTTAAACCGATTGAAAAAAATATGATAAACGTATTGTTAAAGGAGGGCCATTTTTATGTTTTGCTTGGAAATGACTGAAATTCGTCATCCTTGTGGAATCAGCATGCCAAATACCACAATGATTTTGTAAGTGACTATAAATGAAAGTACTAAGAGGTGAAGGGTGACTTGGATGATCCTTGTACTCAAAAGCACATCTGATTAGCTTCATCTTCACATCAGGATAAGGTGGTAAATTAGCTTTCTAGCCATGCCTCAAGCATTCATGCCCTCTTCTTTTATTTTCTGAATTTTTTTACGTGTTTGGAGCAAGAACTAGAAATTTTAAATTAATTAATCTTCGTGTACATGTTTTAAGTCATACAAAAGGAAATCAGCGTATGTTCCACTGTTAAATTAAGTGTGAAATGTCCCACGTTTACGATTGTGCTCATAAGTTTACATCATCCTATGGCATGTAAACTGACTGTATGAGCACAACTGTAAGGACGGCACAAGCCAAAATGTTCAGATGTCCGAGTACTACACAAACACTGAAGACAGCGTTGTGGACATGGACATAAAACAACATTTCTATATGGAGGACACACCGACATACAACAAAATCGTGTGTGTGTGTGTGTGTGTGTGTGTGTGTGTGTGTGTGTGCGCGCATTAGCATGTGTATGTGTGTGTTTGACAATATCTATGTATGGGGACATTGCCCTAAAAGAACCGTGGTTGTCCAGGGGAAAACTGTTGAGTTGATTGCACAGCAGGTTGAACTATTGCCATCTTGCAGTTAATTACTGCAGCAGCTACAGTTGAAGGTCACAGCCTTGCCCTGACTGTCCTTTTAGAGACTCTTGACTGCATGCCAAGGTAGTCACCCACTTTAATGAATGAGATAGCCTTGACACGCTCAGCTCACTTTGCCAAATTTGGGGAGAGAGAAATCGAAATGAATGGAGTTGGCGAGGGATTGTTGGGAGTGTTAGGTGCACGGTGTCAGCTCAGCTGCCACATATTAATACTGTTTTGTGTATATATATATATAGCATATGATGAATGAGTTTGGCAACAGGCATGACAGGACACAGAACTGATATGACTGGTGGGACTGACGGGGCTTTGCTCGGAATGTTATGTCGATCAAGTAGGGGACACTTTGTTGACAAATAGACTATCCTGGGGAGGTGGTGACATATTAGCCTACAAGGCTAGTAAGGCTAGAATTTTAATTGTTGGTTAGTTTCTCGTGACTGGAGGTCTATCACACATTAGGAGAAGCAGTCCTGTGATATGATTTCATTTTCATTGTTGTTTAATTGGTGTGAAGAACCTTTTCTCATAATGTTATCACAGTAGCAGAATTGTCGAACAATTTTGGAAACACCATGTCTGGTAGAGGAAGCTGAAGCTTATCCTAGATAACTTTGAATGAGAGGCGGGTACATTCTGGACTTGTAGTCAGCCAATCGCAAGAAATACATAAACAAGCAATCATACTCAGATTTACACTTATGGGCAATTTAGAGTCTTTATTTGGAACGTGGGAGGAAGCCATAGTACCAAGTGAAAACAAGTAACCGACATACACTGAGTCGAGACTCAAATCCAGGACCTCTCGACTGTGAGGGAGGCGTGCTACCCACCACCCAACATGCCGGTGTAACAAGAAAACAATAAAAAAAAAAAAAAAAAAACAGAATTGACGAAGGGGTACTTTGAAGAACTTGAGAGGTTGCGTATTACGGAGAATACCGAACGACCAAACCTGTAACTGACCTGTTCCAGGTGATTGTTCCTGATACTCGCTGCATCTCGCCCAGTGCTGCCAGCAAGAGGGAAGATTTACCACAACCCACTTGGCCCACAATCATGGTCAGCTTGCCTGAAATGGGCAATCGCGAAAACAGGCAATTACAAGACAGAAAGGATGCGAGCAGTCAAAGTTTATTGCCTGAGGCATACCAAAGGGAACCACGATGTCCACATTGGCCAGTGTTGGTGGTCCGTCCGTCCACGTGAAATAACCGCTGCATATCTGAAGAAAGCAACACGCATACAATAATGAAATACAAGGTTTCTTTCTGTGTAGCACATTTGAGACACATGGCAATTCAAAGCGCTTTATGTAAGACACCAACGACAGGCGTTAAAAGCCCAGAATTCAAATTAATGTGAAAGCAAATATTATAGAATTACAGATTGAAACTTAAAATACCACACATAAAAATGCAAATGATTTTATAATACAGGAAACTGGATAATACAGACTGGACTCTATCCTATCTGGCATCGGATATCAGCGGCTGTTTTATGCAGGATATTCCAAATTCCAGTCACAGAGGGCATTTTTCGATTTTGGGAGTAGTTGTTAAAGAAGAAACCTCTCCAAATATAGTCGACTGGACGTCACAAATGATAAATAGCAGTCTGCTGTAACTATGATGGAATGCCCCTCTGTCGCGATCCATTGTAATCCATGGACATAAGGAGAATTAAATGAGCCGGCCGATCAATACAAGCCACAGAGAGGGCAAGAAATATACAGATGGCCTTCCATTTTATTCAGTCTTACCTTGATACAAATGTCTTGTTCCGCAACCAGGTAGGGTGCGTCAACCTCATGCTCCCCATGTGATCTGTAGTTGTTCCAGTCGTCTCTTGGCGCATGCTTCCTGTTTACCACTTTCAAGGGCTGCAGGGTTTCAGATAGACAGTGTAAGGAAGGGGTAAGTTTAGAGCAGGGATGGACAACTTAAATGCTGCCGGGGGCCACAAGTTATCATCCGTTCTACTGGGGAGGGCCACATAGGACCACACGCTTCCTAACCTGATGGATGACAAAAATGCTGTTTTAGGTCTGGACAAAATACACGCATCCGTCCATGTTCTAATCCACTTATCCTCACAAGGGTGTGCTGGAGCCTATCCCATTTGTCTCTGGGCAGTAGGCGGGGTACATCCTGAACTGGTTGCCAGCCAATCGCAGCCAAGTACATGCATATGTGCAAATACATGCTCTGTTGAAATATTTTTAACTTTGATCCACAAATCTACTTCCAATAGTGCTTGTCCTCTTTAGCCTATTTCAAATGACTTTAGGCAAGAGGTGAGGCTGGACTGGTCTCCAGTCAGTTGCAGGGCACATTTGGTGTAGACCAGGGGTGTCAAACTCATTTTTGTCGCGGGCCACATTGTAGTCACATTTTCCTCGGAGGGCCAATAGGACTGTGAAACTGTATAAATGTTTAATCACCTCCTCGTATTATTACATATAAAGTACACAATTAATAGATTTTGAAATCCAAAGTCAAGGAGAGTAGTTTGTTCCCCTGTTGTTGAAGTTTCTGTAATAATGTAAAAGAAGAAAATGCAATAGCTCAAAATGCCTATGCAGATTTTAGCAAGCGTCATGGAAGTTGACATGGTTAATTTGCTTTCGCAGGCCACATAAAATGATGTGGTGGGCCAGAGCTGGACCCCGGGGCTTAGTTTGCCACCTGTGGTGTAGACAAACCACCATACTTACTCACTTTCATACCAGTTCACAATTTAGAGTGATCGATGAATCAAACATGTTTTTGGAATATGGAAGCTAGAGCACGCAAAGACATCTCACACAAGCGTGGCGAGAACACGCAAACTCCACACAGGAAGGCCCGAAACCAGATTTTAACCTCAAAAAGTGTGAGGCATGACCGCGAGGCCACCATCCTCCTCTTTTTACGCTGGGTGTCCTAAAAAAAAAATGGTGTTCTATCCCCAGGGTTGGAGTTGTGAATCGAGTCAATGGCAGTGGGAGCCAAGCCGCCTTGAGGCACACCTCTCAGTCAATCGCAAAACACCACCGTCAAAAACTCGAGTGAGTTGTGACACACGGGGTTAGTGCTAAATTATGCAACATAGCAATTCTACAGCATTGCACTGATCACAAGTGGCACATTTTACATACATATTCATTGAATAATAAGGCATTTTGCAGCTTGAATGAGATGCACTTACCAATGCCTGGTACCTATTTTGGTTATGGTTGTTGGAGCCCGAGGTCAACGTTGTTCTGGGCTCCAGTTCATCCCCAATCTCATCACTGGAGAAAAACTCGCTGAGCTTTTGCACACTGCAGGTCAAAAAGAGAGCAAGCAAATGTTGAGTTGCTTCGACTGAAACTCAAACTAGAAAGGAAAAGATAATGAGGCAGAGTTTGTTTTTTGTTTTTTTCATGGGACATTCTATTGTAGACTTCACTCGATGTTATTTCTCCCCTTAAAATGCTAGCTATGAAATATAGATTTCACATCCTTTTTATTTAATTGACACCAATGAGCCTAGTCTTATGTGGGAAATTTTGCATTTTTTTATACATGCAGGGCTGATCTGAAAGTTTACTACAGTATTATGATAAGATGTAAGAATAAAGTTGAATTATGTCGAGGATAAAAATGTCATCTTAGGAGAAATTATTACAAAAAATGGTCATCAATATTGGTCATAAAATAATTTACAATGTTGCAAGAATTGTTAAGATCTGTCATAAATTTCCAAAACAATGAAGGTTTTGACGCATCAAAACCAACTTCAGCATGAGCAGTTGAATGTGACTTTGTAAATGTTTGTCTCTTTTCCGTTATTGAAGAGTTAATATTAGTGCTGTCAAGCCGTTAATTTTTTTGTATTAATAAATTGCACAATTTTCCATAATTTATTGCGATTAATACAAGGCTTGTAACAGATATGTACTGGAGTAAAACCGTGGAATTAATGTTGAATCATCAAAAACAATATTTAATTTTGACAGTTTACTTCGATCCTTGAATAAAATGCTTCTCGTGTAAAATTCAACAGCTGAAGAAAACAGCCAAAACTGAGTCAACTTAACAGGCATCTTTTTTTATAGTCTTCTCCTCTCAAATCGTCTTGCTTACAGGTTAATTTATCCCTCCTCAAGCAGTGATGATTGGCGAGGCCCCATGGAGAGAACTTGAGCAGAATGTTTTCCTTCCACACAGATAGATGATGCCGCAAAAACAAGCAACTGAAATGCTGTTTGAATTTGGCTTTGCAACATGTGCAAATTATTTCAGATTTCTCCAATGAGCCGCCCAATGGATTTTTTTTTTTTTAGAGTTGAACTTCTTCAAAGTCTGTCCTGGTTCATTTCGCACCAGTGACTCTCGAAAATTTGATAAGACTTATTTCTTTGAACGCTTTACATCATTTAAATTAATCTCCAAATGTAACACTTTAACTGTGACAGCCCGAGTTAATATATAAACATTGACCTATCTTTGCTGTTTGATTTATGATAAGCTGTTCTTAAAAGTCTTTTAATAATGTAGGAAACTGCTATTCCTCAACTCCCTTAAACAAATGATTTTGACATTGTAACCATATTATATCCAACGTAAACATATACCAAATTCTCATGACATCAAGTTGCACTGACACAAATTCCACCATTAGAGTCATCAAATGACTTAAGATACAGTTTTAGTGTGTCAGAAGCAACTTCACTGTGACACGCATTAGCAAAACTTCTAAAGATCAGTTTGTCCTTGCTTTACATTATCATTTATATTTTCTCTCGTGATGCAGAGTCCAAATTCAATGAAATCATCTTTTGTCTTATAAAATGTGCACATTCACCTGGCCCCCAAATTTTTCTAATGACTCCAATTAGCCTCGAGACCAAAGGACAAAAAAAAAAAAAAAAAATGACTCCAATTAGCCTCCAGACCAAAGGACAAAAAAAAAAGACATTCTGACATCTTGAAGGCATTTCTCAGTTGCTCACCTGACAAGAGCTTTGACGGTGGATCTCACGACACTGGAGAGCAGGAAGAGCGGCGTGACCAGAATGTGAAAGAGGGAGAGAGAGGCGAAGGCCACGGCCGGAGACAGGTCAGCGTCCTCCGAGATTTGCACATGAACAACAAACGTCTGCAGAATGTGAGGGCATACAGAATGACTGAGAAAAAAAATTCCAAACAGAACGATTGCTAAATGCTGTTGGCCTGTGTAGGTTGCAGGTGAATAAAATGGTCTCTATTTTATAGTCACGATGCGCTCTAACTCTGCGTGGAGGCAAGATTTTCAAATGTCAGTGGACTCTTTGCTTTCCATGGGCTGAGTATGAGCAAAGTGCACTTGAATATGATTGCTTATACACACACAATAAGAAGCTAATCCACTGTTTCCCACTCACCGTCAACACAGCTGCAATTGGAATAGCTGCATTCATGAAGACTGAAAGAGAAATAGACACTTCATCATGAAGGGAATTTGAGTTGGGGGGGTTTTCTGTCTATGTAATACTGTACGATGTGGAATGCACATTGGGACGCAAATTAGATATTTTTTTTGTCAAGCAGAATACATTGAAAAGTATTGCAGTGCAATCAACTCATTCAAGTGTGCTGTTGCTTAAAAATGACTTCCAACAAATAATATTATCTCAGCGGCTTCGGATGGATGGTTGTTGTTTGATGTATTGTTGCCGTACTCTCACATTCGATCACTCCCACTGTTCCGTTACAGACATAAAATTGATATTATTCAGCATGTGTATTACGGGACTGGAGCTTTTCCAGGATGCAACCATTGTTGTTTTAGAACAGGGGTGTCAAACTCATTTTTGGCGTGGGCCACATTATAGTGTCCGTTTTTTTTTGGGAGGGCCATTGTGACCACAAGTTATACAAACCATAAGTTTAAGTTACTGTAATGAGAGGTTTGGTAACAAGAAAATGTTTACAGTATCACTCTTATTTATCACAAATGAGAATTTCAAATTTTGGTAGAGATTTTAGCAGGCATCATGAAAGTTGCAATCTTTGATTTGCTTTCGCGGGCCACACTAAATGATGGGGAGGGCCAGATCTGGCCCCCAGGCCTTGAGTTTGATATCTGTTTTTTTAGAAGATTAGACTAAAACAAACATGGGGACTGTCTTGTTAGAATGAATGTATACCGAAATCCAATATTGACCAATTATTACTGTGGTTCATTGAAAAGTCAACCAGAGCACAGACACAGCTCTTTTTTTCTTCTTCTTTTTTCACTTTTTTGGTTCCTTTCAAAAAGGGCAGTATATTAAGATTATCTTACTCACTGGATATGGAAGTGTAAAGTGCAAAGGCCTGCAGGCTGGTCAATTCCTTGCCCCTGGTTTCCTCCACACTGTCACAGAAGATGCGTTCCCATGCGTAAAGCTTCAGTAATTTGATGCCTCGTAGCAATTCATTGGTTTTCTTGAGGCGCTCGCTGGAATATTCCTGAGATGCCAGAGAGAGATTAATTCATTATTATGTATGTTAAGGTCATGAAACATTGAACAATTGCAAAGGAAGTGTGAATTCAAGTACATTCTAGGTTCATTCCGAAATTTCACCCAAAGGCCGATTATTGCAATTTTTTTTTTTGTCAGGAGTGTACGTGTGGATGTTTCACTGCCATCATTACATCCACGTCATTACTTTGCAAGATATCAATTTGTTACCTGGAAGAAAGAAAGTGGGCGAAGCAATGTTGACTAACACTATTTGTCAGGTTCTGTCCATCGGACAGCTCGTTTACAGAGTGAAAAACAGCAGTTAGGCAGTGGGTGTAATGACCTGAAAGAGTGAATTCAAACACATTCAAGGCCCTACCTCAGGTCAATGAATGAATGAAACATAAACCGCTCAGTCACTGTAAATAGCAGACAAATGCACAGTCGTGTGCAACTGTTCATCCACATCATGTATAGGTCAGCGATTTTACAGCCCAAGCGACCTTCTGACTTCCCCATCTCTATGGCATGACTACTAAAATAGAAGGCTGCCAATGCTAAGACTCACCAGAGTGCTCTTCTGTGTCTGTGACAGTTTTGTGGCAACAAAATACTGAACGGGCGCAAGCACAGCAATGACAGTTGCTCCTATCAAGGCACTGATTCCCAAGAGGTAATAGAGCAAGATCACTCCCACGATAATCTGGGAGCGGAGGACACAACAAAGAAAGAAATACAGTACAGTACGTCAAAAGATTGCAAGGGGCTAAATGATCTGGTTCGCTTTTTCAACAGAAATATACAGCAACGCCTGGGTTGAAGTGTTCCTTGAGGGAGAAAAAGAAATAAAAGTAAAGAACAATAATTCATCATGCAGAAGAATTCAGAACATGTAACATTTAGCGATATAATATTCTTAGAGATCAAAGTAGACCAAAACGTCATTATCTTTACAGGCTGGATTAATGATGTGCTCTACGAGCACAAGTCACTGGGCACTCTTCTCAATCAACAAATCAGCCAGGTTTGACTCGGACACCAGAAAGTAGTATCTACAGTTTGACTAATGCCTCAAGGTTTGTGGGTACAATTTACAAAACTGCATTTTCATCTATTATCTGAACCGCTTATTCTCACGAGGGTTGAGGGCATACTGGAGGCCATCGCTGAATTGGTTGCCAGCCAATCGCCAGCCAATCACAGGGCAGACATAGACGAATAACTGTTCACACTCATAATCACACCAAGGAACAATTTAGAGTGTTCCATCAACCTGCCATGAATGTTTTTGGAATGTGGGAGGAAACCGGAGTACCCAGAGAAAACCCACACAAGCACGGGGAGAACATGCAAACCACATACAGGAAGCCCAGAGCCTGGAATCGAACCCTGCACCTCTGCACTGTGAGGCGGATGTGCAATCACACCTTGCCGCCCTGCATTTTCATTCCCTATTATTTTAAAAATGGTCTACACAGATATCTTTTGGGAGTTCGGTGCGTAAGAATACAAGTAGATTGACTTCAAAACCATTTAACACCTTCATGACGAAATACGGCCATCTGCTGCCTGTGGCTTGACACATCCATGGCGAGATAATGTGACATGTCACATTCACAGGTTCCCCTTCACAGGAAAATGCCTGTTGGTGGTGCGAAGTAAAATGTGACTTATTAGAAGCAATACCTTTCACAGCAGTTTCCCAGGGGGGCGAGCATCATTTCTGACTGAGACATGGGTTTGTTGCTAACATACTCTCCAATACCACCATCACTTTTTGTCAGTTGCAATTCAAATTACACATGATCTTATGAATATGCCGCTGTATAATGCTCTGGCATATGACATGGCAAATACATGGCAGTCTTTGGGCTCGTCGCCAGCCAATCATAGGGCGTGCATAGACAAACAAGCATTTACACTCACAATCACATATGTGAACAATTTAAGCCTTTATTTGACCAAGGGGGCAAACGTTTATGAGGGTTGGCAAGGATAGCGTATTTTAAGTTCTTATCAGGGTTCATTCAAGGTCACAAACATTTGACATTATCCATATGTTTGCCAAAAGTTTTTCTTGCCACAAGGAAATTTTAAATACCATATGTTCAAAATTTCCTTGTGACAAGAAAAACCACGAAAATTGTTGGGGAACGCCTGGAAAACGTTTGCTGAACGTTTGTGACCTTCAATACACCTTGACAAACTCTGACGAGAACTCAACATTTGCTCCCTTCACCAACACTCGGAAATGTTCGCCCCTCAGTGGGATACTGGCTATCAAGTTTTCAGTTAACCCACCATGAATGTTCTTGGAATGAAAAAAATAATTATAATCGGTATTATTTAAAAAAAATAAATATTCACTAATGTGGCGGGGGAGCGGTATTTACACATAGACGCACAATCTGGGTGGTCTTCAATTGCCCACGTCACAAACACAGCCGACTTCATCATCCGCAAGGGGAGAGCTTGCAATTTATCTTCCAATGTCCTGCATGGACCCCAGCAAGTCTGTTTCTGTATCTGCAATGCCAAGCGCATCATACTCGGGCATACTGAACTCGGAGTGCCCTGATTTTCATGCAAATGAGGGATGCCACAAGGACTGGCAGGGCAAAGATGACATGATCCCACAACAGTGCTCAAAGGTGCAAAGGCCCCGTTACGCCCAATTCTTCCTGTGCAAAGTCTAGTAAAATTTCAGACATGCGCAGAGTTAGCGCTTTGTGTTCGACTTGCAGTCAGGATGAAAATAGTCCCCCAAACAGAAACATTGAAATACAAAGGCAACACTTACATGCAGCACTTGACATAGACCTTCATGTTTCCTACCTGTATGGGCATAGCCCACAAGTTGGGACAGAGAAAGAAGAACCACATGAGCTGGTTGGTATCTACGGCAACGAGGTTGCAAATTTGAGCTACAGTGAGCTCGCCCATGGACATGTTGGATGTGCACAAACGCATGATCTTGTTGTAGATTTTGGTCTGAGGATATAACAGCCACAAGATGGATGAGGTCATTTTCTCAATTCACTCCATTTCATAGTGAGCTCCAGAAGCAGAGTACTGTACCTGTATGGCCCCGCGTAGCTTGATGCCAGTCTCAATAGCCACATAGTAGGACGCCTGGAGGAATGTTCTTTGCAGGAGCAGTGCAAAGAAGAGCAAGACGGCCAGCACGTATGCATTCTCCAGAAACTCCTTGGAGGAAATAAAATAGATCCCGAGCAACCTCATCTGGAAGGACAGAGTGGGACAGAAATATAGAGGCTGCCTTTGTTTTGCTGTCATCTAAAACAATAGAATCAAGCAGGATTTCACACTTGAAATCCATGCTGAGTTGAAAAAAAAAATTAAAAGGGAAAATGATAATACTGTACTGCGTCGATCAACATCACACATGAGCATCATAGTGGGAATGAAAGCCTAGTCGATAACAAATTATTGAGATGAAAGGAGACTTAGTCCCTGAGAATGGAGATTGGATAAATGATCCTGAAAGATTTATTTTCCCGGGATGGATTTCAAATGATTAATTTATGACTTCAATATCACACCAACCATTTTTCTCTGAATCGATGTACACAATGCGGCTCCTTCATCCCATCACTCACATCATTCAGACATCCATTCATTTTCTTTCCCACTTGCTCTTGACCTGTCTCCCCGGTGGTCAGTTTAGCCAGGAGTCAAAGTCAAAGTAAGCAAATGGAAACATTTTTCAAGAACCCAAAAATTGCATCTTTTGAAACACAAATATACATAATGACATGTGGAATTATATCCTGAACAATTAAGTGCAGAGGGCAGAATATGTTCTGAAATGTTTCCCCTCAAATTCTATCCAAGGGTGATTGACACTGCATCGCCACGCTCGGCGATGCCTGGCTCACGACACCCGTCTCATTCTATCTCGTTCTCGCTTTGTCCTCTTTGTCATTCAGTTCATCTCTTTCCCATACGGTGCAGCACTGCTTTCCCAGACTACATATGTAGATAAAATCCAGCTGTTATTGTTGACATATGCAGTTGTTGTGCCATTTTTATTTTTGTTGCTGTTTTCGATCTGTTCTGTCTCTTCTCTCAAAGGTGCTTTTTTTTTCCCAACTGCATATCCAATAAATATCCGCCTCCATACAAATAACAGATGTGGTATATGAACTCTCCTTTTGCACTGCAAAACTATTCCTGTAGGAAAAGGCATGTAGAAATACCATACGACTTGACTAAGCAGCCAATCGGAACATGTGACTCACAAATAAACCCCCAAAAATTAAAACAGTAAAACATTTTACCATAGCCATTGGTTCAAAAATCAAACTAAAAAAATGCTCAAATTGGACCGATTACACAAGAGTCTATTTTGGCTCTTCAAAAGCATCGTCTTCAACTGATGTCGGAACGGTTTGTACTATTTTCACTTTGGCTTGTGACGTTCCGCTGCAGCACAGGGTGAATTTCTGACTTCAAAATGAGAGAGATGCTCTCACAGGCGGATGCCAGAGAGTCTCTGTGATGTGATGGGTTGCCTTTTGTGAAATCCTCGACAAGTCCGACAGTAATAAGTCTCATATATATTTGACAAGTCCCAAATCAATGCTCCACCCAAACTGGCATGCCAGATGGCAAGAGCATCTGAAAGGTCAATCTTTGGAAGGAATCCAAATGCCAGGTGATACCTCGCTCAACGTTTGTACGTGCTTGAGTGGTTTTTCTGCTAAAATACGACAACAGCAACAGATCTGAACGATTCATTTTTCACGTTAACCCATGAAAGCTAGCAAGAAACAGATCTCATCACTGAACAAATACTGAACATGTAGAACGTTTCGTCATTGCCAGCCCCAAATGTTGGATCCGAAAAAAGACATTAATTATGCATGCGCGAACACATTTTTAGTTTCCAGTTAATGACAGAGGTATTAATACTGCAGTACAGTGATCCCTCACTATTTCGCGGTTCGTTTATCGTGGCTTCAGTGCATGCGGATTTTTTTCAAACATTTAAAAAAAACTTTTTTTTTTTTCAATATACATGGAGTACAGTACTGTATATGTTGCTCTATGTGACTCGCTGTTGTTTTGCAGCTTCTCACGGGCCGTTTAAAAAAAAATTTTATATATATGTATAAAATTATTAGTTATTTATAAAAATGACTACAGTACTTTAACAGGTGATTTTTTTGAAGTGGAAATTCCCACACAAACATCTCCAGAACTCTGTCACATATGCATCCATCCATTTTCTGAACCGCTTTATCCTCACTAGGGTCGCGGGTGGGGGGGGAGGCTATACCAGCCGTCTTCGGGCAGTAGGCGGGGGACATCCTGAACCGATTGCCAGCCAATCGCAGGGCACACAGAGATGAACAACCATCCACGCTCACACTCACACCTAGGGACAATTTTGAGTGGTCAATCAGCCTGCCAGGCATGTTTTTGGAATGTGGGAGGAAACTGGAGTACCCGGAGAAAACCCACGGAGGCCTAGAGAGAACATGCAAACTCCACACAGGAAGGTTGGAGCTGGGATTGAACTCACGACCTCTGCACTGTGAGGTGCTAACCACTGGACCACCCCCCCTTCAATGTCACATACTAATCAGGAAATATCATTTATAATTGATCAATTGTTTTTACTAAAGATTTTATTCGGTGATGAAAGCAAACTTTTCTAGATGAGTTTTTCTCCAGATTTTGATTCAGCCTTCACTTTTTCATTAGGCATGATTGAACCTAATAGGACGTCTTTATTGACAACGGATAGCTATTGATGGTGCCAGTGGGCACCCATTCCTTTCAGTGACTGCCCGATGATTCGCATTGATTTGACATCAATTTGCTGGCACGGCGTCTGTCGCTTGACTAAGGAGCTCAAACTGACGTTCTTTGTTTACTCTCTCTTCCAGGAACACTTGTTACACTTCAGATTTTTAAATTCTGGTTTAAAGTTATCACTGTTTGTTTTGCTGGTGCCACACAAAGTTAATGTCATACTCAGAAGGTGTTCAACCAATGTTTACTTTTTCTCCACCACTTTGGATATTCTGTAATTTTGTCTTTATTGTTGTTCTGATTTGTCACACTCAGGAATTAGTCAGCAAGCTAATAGCACAACGTTTTTGTTCTTCTTTTATTGCTTCTCCACCTCTACGCACCTGCTCGGTGCCACAGGTCAGCGGTCCAGATGCTACTGAGGGTACGAGAACTAAGTAGAGGCTGAGAGGTGGTCGAGGTTTTTCCGTTGCCGTTACCTCCCTCTGGAGTAACTTTCTGTGAAACGTAAAGCAAGCCCCCTCCCTGTCCATCTTTAAATCTCATCTTAAAATGCACTTTTTCTTTGGCTTTAACCCAAGATGAGACTCAGCATTGTTCTGTTTTGTGTTTATGTTTTTATGTTATTAATTTCATAGCTTCAACTGTCTTGGTTTTACATGTCTGATTTTTATCTTACTCACGGCATTTTGTACACGGCTGTGGTTGTTTCTTAAGTGCTCTACAAATAAATAAAATGAGTTGAGTGAAAAAGTCGACATTGCATATCATGCCTTCGAGCCTCTCACCGGTTGCTGGATGGTTCGGTTGTCCTGGCTGATGTGATGGACGATGCCAGAGATACAGAGTGGACCGACAAAGCCCAGCAAATCGGCCATGAAGCGGAATGTGATGCTGAGGATGAGAGGTCTGCCAAAAGCTTTCCTCAAGGCCTGCCAGATCCACTTGGGTCCCTGTGGCGCCGTGCCCTGAGGTTTCTGATGAGAAGGATGCACGAAAAGAAAAACGTTGGGGATCGTTAATTGGAGTTATTTTTCGAGAGGAAGACATGAAGGTGTGACATTAAAATAGCTCAGCAAAAAAATATTATATAATGTGTATTCTATCCCTCTTATCCTTCAGGGTTGGTGAAGCTGGCACCTATCGCGGCATACTACACCCTGGACTGGTGAGCGCAAACGAGCTTGCAGTAAAAAAAAAAAACTGCCGCTACCACAGAAAGTTGAGCTTCGGCGTAGATGCTGAATCATTACAAAAATCAGTCAGCCAATTCAACGGACTGCTTTAAAACAAGGTCATAGTCATCTGAATCTCCACACTTCCTGCTGCTGCTGCTGCATCGTGGGATACACTGATTAATGGTTACCAGCGGCGCATGACAGCCATGCAGGACAGACCACAAAAGGAGACAAACCATTGTGGCAATGCGGCAGAGGAGGATGAAGGAAGAAGTGAACTCTTGGGATGACATATTATTCAATTATTTATCACGGCAGCGTATTGAATATGATAAGCGCACGGTGAGGGATTATGTTTTGGTGACTGTTTGTCTGCTAGTTTGCAAGAACTACATGGCCTATTTCCGCAAAATTCTCTAGAGAAGGGGCACCAATGCACGAAGGAGCAGCTGGAAACATATACCTTTGTATTTCTGAACAGCTGTGTGACAAAAATTTCTTCATAGTTTAAATTTATTTCAATTTGTATTGCACTCTGTATTAGACATCGTGTACATTCTTCACAAAGCATTGCTCATCCATTGCATCCCTCATACAATTTGTTGTTGTTTTCTTGTTGTACATTTTATTACTGTGATTTCTTTTTTATTGTTCTGTGGTTGCGTAGGCTCCAATGTTTTCTATCAGATGAACTCATTTCTGTCAGATGAACTCATGAACTCATCAGCTACAACATACAATACTAAATTCAAATGATCTTACACAAACTATTTTTGGTGTGTACAGTAATGTGTCTGTTTGCATTGTATGGCGCTGTTAAGTATTGGTCATTTCAGTTTCATGAAAAATCATTCAGGTACTGTATTGGATTTGCAAATGTGCAGCAGCATTAACCGTTGGCCATCAGCACAGTGGAAATAGCGGTTAGCATTTCTTCCTCACAGTACAAGGTTTGGGGTTCAAATCTGGTCTCAGTCTTCCTTGTTCTCCGTGTGCTTGAATTGTTTTTCAGCTTGTACTCCAACTACAGATACACTTTTTGGAGTAGACTATACATCTTAAAAGTCGATCTAAATCCAGATGATTCTATTGTGTGCCACCACTTGACAACATAAAACTGAGTAAATTCAACACACCTTTTTTTTCAGTGTAGAACGCAGTTAAATTGCACTCTTTCTATCAAATGTATAAGAACATTAAGTTCTCTGAGAATTTTTTTTTTCACTTTTGTTGAAAGATCAGTCTTGGTGGAGGTCCACACGCTACTGAATGCTATTCTTTGTGAGTTTGTTTATACTTTGTGCACTCTGTGATGTCCAACAACACAACAGCTTGGCTAAATGAACGCAGTCGGCAATGATTATAGGAAAACATCTGGACTGTCACTGCGAGACTGTTGGATTAAGCTCTCCCAGGAAAAGTTCAATGTAGTGCTTGTGTGCGTTCTCATCTACTAGAAGCCGCTCTCTTCAGCGCTCTGAGAAAACAGAACATGTCTCGATCATGACATTTTAGTGCATACTAATATACAGCGATCTGGCTTCCCATAAAGTGAAGCTCTGTCACGCACGCAGGGGTCACCATGTCGCCTTGTTCACAGTAGAATGGGAATGACCCGGCGCCTTCTCGATGACGAGTATCCAACCCCCCACCAGGATCGTTTTATCTCTCTTCTCAAGCGGCAGGAAGTGAGACTGTGTTCACACTGGACACGTTTAGCCATGACACATGGCTGTGACCTTTCAAACACTGGAAAATTCTGACCTTGGCGAAGATGCCGCATCTTCATGACACGTGCTTCTTAAGAGAGACGGGAAGACATTTAAAGTTTGACTCATCCATCCATCCATCCATTATCCAAACCGTTTATACTCATGAGGGTCGCGGGCGTGCTGGAGCCTTTCCCAGCTGACTTTGAGCAGTAGGTGGGGTGCACCCGGAACTGGTTGCCTGCTAGTCGCAGGGCAGACAGACAAACAACCATCCACACTCACTCAATTTTTTTATGGATGAAAAAACACACTCCCTAATCAAATGATATGCAAAGGCACTCCATTCTGATCACATTTTATTTTTTTTATTTTTTGGACTATGACGTGTTCTTTGGAAAAAAAGTACAATTAGCAACCAATTCAAGTTGATTTGGGACTCGCTTATAAAATGGTAAACAAATAGCAAACACAGATTTTGGGTGTGAGTCTGAGCTCTATTGGTGACCTAGAGATTAGCACATAATTTAATGGTCTAAATTATTCATATGTATAAATGTAAATAGAGATGTTTGTTTATGTTGCTGGGATAGGAATAAAATCTCATATGTCACAATTTGTTAAAGTTCATATTTTTTCACATATCCATGCTATTGGTCAGTCCACACGTGGGAGCTATTTTTACAAATTATTGGCCAATCTATAGTGCTGAAACTGGCTTTCTCTCTTTAACAATGCAATATTCATTCTTGTACAAGCATGATGTTTTGGGGTCTCCTGAAAAGTGATGCTTTTGGAGGTATAAGGATTCTGCCTGACGTCAGCGATACGGGCCCTGTAAGGGAATGCCCCACCTCTCTCCCAGGGCCAGCCGGGATGGGCTCTAGCTCGCACACAAACCTACTGACAACAAGTATTATAGCAAGTGGATGCATAGATAGATCAATAGATGACCATTATATAACTTCACTGGCATTGCCCAATTTGGTCTGAGACCGCGCATTTACTTTTAAGTTGTGAAACAAAACAACCAGGTTTCGATGTGTGTGTACAACAAAAACACTGGTAAATCAAGAATGCAGATTCAAATAATGTCTCCTGTGAATTAAACATCTGAGGGAAATTCCGCATGCTGTTTTTCCAGCTTCCTATTGAATGTGTAATGCTAAACAGCTGCACACTCACCTTCTGGGCTTCGAAAGCGTTGCGGAGCTTCATGTAGTTGGTGAGGGCCCTCATAGCGATGGGCAGCTTTCCGATGACTTTGAGGTCAATGGGTCGCCTGTGAGCCGAGGTTATGAAGGTGTTCATCCACCAGTAGGTGGCTTTGGACAGCAGGTTGACAAAGGGCTGCAGAAAACGGACACCCAGATCCTGAAGGTCCTCGGGGGGCTTCACTTCTGTCGGGTTGGCGAAACACATGTATCGCTGCAAGACACGGACACAACCAGTTAGTTTCATAGGCTCTTAGTTGGCCCAGTGGCTCAACCTGATCGCCCACTTGGAAATGTGCTTAAGGGTTAAAAGCGGCTGATTAAATTTCCATTGAAGATTGGCACTGGGGGGCGGGGGCGGGAGTTACTGTGCCACCTGCAGTGATGTCTTTCTGTTTTTTTATTTTTAATACCAGGGTTAATCAAACTCACTAAATGTGAGATATAAATAAACAAAGAATATAAGCAAAATAAAAATGAGAAAAACAGTGTTGATGTGTTTAAATGAAATCAGAACCAAGGCCATTCATTTCATCTACTGCCTCATTCTTGTCAGAGCACACAGTGCTGATTGTAGAACATCCAACCTGTAATATTGCGTTGACGTTTTGGCCATTTATCCTCCCATATTTAATTCTTGCTAGTTTTTCTCACGGTCTATCACGATTTATGTGATGCGTCGTGGTTGGAAGCAGCTGCGGAGCCCTGGAGGCTCAAAGTTGCTCTCCGGGTTTGGCCTGCGGTCTACCACTGATGCCCATCTCCACTGATGTCGTCCCTCATGTTTCTCATGCAGGTGTGACACATTTTCACATTCTGTCCAGGCTTTCCACAAATAAACTGTGTACACCGAGAAGCTTTGAAGTACGTCTGTAGACACAATAGACTCAAATGAAGCACACCTGAAAGGTTCGCTTTATGCTCCAAGAAGTGCATGCTGTGTAGTGGAACACAACATGTAAATATTGCACCGTGCCTGTAAACCGTCACAGGATGGAATGCTCTGTAACTCAACACGACAAAAGGGCTAACTTAACCTTGGCAAACCTCAGCTTAACTTAGCTCGCTGGGTAACCGTGGATAAAAGTGTCAAAATGGGACAAAATGTGCACCAGATGCAGCAGAACATGACAAAATTTGAAAGGACGGTGAGATGCCGAGGAAATACCCGTCCAAGTTTTGTTACAGCCTATTACATACTGTAATTCTACTTCGGTTGACTAAGTTTCTCATCCACACTGTGATTGCCGCGGCAAATTTTTTGACAGTCTGAAAATCAGGCCTGACATCCACAGCAATCATTGCTTGTCACGTTTGCCGATGCTGTCTAATATCGGTGGCTTGAAATGTGATTGCCGTGGGCGCCTGGAACATTTTATCAATGTAGCATAACCAGCAAAAACATAACCCACTACATTATTTTTCCATTTTAAAACTTTGAGGAGGTGTGAAATCTAATGCATTCAATTCTAGTGTTAACCATGTATTGGAAACTCTCTGAGCCATTATGGTTGATTACCTGGATATACTTTTAGCGTGTGTACTTTTTAAGCCTGTTGTGTTTCAGGTGACTCATTGTGCTTTGTGCTATTGAGGGCATTCTGCTTCATCATGTGCAAAACATGATGGGAGCATTGCTTTCACAGCTGTTTAACCAGAGGAAACAGAATCAGCAGATTAGGTGTACGCAGCACAGGGATTAACAAATTGTCAGGAGGAGGAAAAGTGACCAAAAATCTTTGTTGAACTGAATAATATAAAATATGAAAAATGTCAAAAACCGTGGGGCCTGTTTGCTCTCTCACTTCGCATTTCGGTTTATTGCTTTGCTCGTTGGAACTCCACACTAAAAGCAGACGTTAGTTCAAAAAAAAAAAAAAAACTCAACAACAACAATAACAACAACAAACCGAAATCAATCTGCTACACGTGTCTGCACACATTCATCATTACAGTAAGTGAGGGCACACTCACTCTGCCCAGGATGACATTGATCTCCACAGCCAGCAGGAGTCCATAAAGTAGCACCAGCAAGCATGTGATGCAGTAGCGTAGCTGCCTGGCGCCGATTCCATGCTCTGTGTATTTGGCAAACTTGATGGTTTTCATGATGAAGGCAAGAACCCAGTAGATAAGGAGGGCTGAGGAGATTTCACGTGGATAAGTGGTCAGACAAGCCGCAAAAATAATGGTTCCGGTATTTATGACATCAACAAGTTTTTCACTTTTAATTTCCTTTATCAGCAGTGACTTGGCTAGACTAAGTGTATTTGTCCTGTCTTGTCTTTGCTTAACTTTCTGGGCTATACATATAAACAAAAACAGACATAATACATCATAATATAATGTATATTCTTGTGCGAATCAGTCTGGTGGGCAGGTGAGTGAGAGTGACAAGGCAACAGTAACGCAAGTGCATTTTTACTCAATATATAATTGTTATACAAAGGCTAGCAGGACAGCACAATCGCTCCGCTACATTGGTCAGCTTACCCCACTTTGGTCCTCTTAAATGCAATTCACACAAGTCTGCTTTATTTTAGGTTAGTAACCTGTAAATATTTTAGGTGGGCTGATGGTACCGTGGCCCTGGATCCAGAGAAGAACAAGAGGCTAGAACCCCACTAAGGAAATTGGATTTATGGCCATTTATTTTTTATATCCATTCATTTCACAATCAAATCGCCTCTCTGTATTCAGTATAACGTCATATAGTATTAGAAGGAAAAATAAAAGTGCCATCTGGAAGGGCACTGGTCTCACTGGAGTCTCTCCAAGAATTTTACATATTATCTGAGGTCAACTTGTGAATAAAAAAAGAAGTTTAAATAATATGAATTATTGATTCGTTGTTCAATGTGCTTACATTGATTTTATTTTCTTTGGTTTACACTCAATTTATTGTTTGACTGAATCATCCAACTCGAAATAATAAATAAACTTGAACTACACTGGACAGTTTTACTCAACATTATCAAACCCATATTTACTTTTACAAACCTAGAAAACTGGTTTGCAATGCAGCAACAAAACAAGAACAGTTTAAATAGCTCATGGCTCAGTTATAACAGTAATACAAGCGGATAACATCTCTTTGAAAGTGGCCATCCAATGAAAGTGTTATGTTGTAATTTGTAACATGAGTTAAATAATTTTGCCTACAACTGTATTTACACTACAAGGTCAAAATGATTACTGAAACTCTAATACAGACTAATTCAGGATTTCTTGCTTCATTTGTATGGAAGAAGATCAATGCCACAGCACCAGAGCCTGCTAATGCACCGGCTGTGTCAAAATCTGTTGCCCCACTAAACTGCTTCTCCCTTGGTAGAGCGACTCTGACATGAAGACCTACTTGCCCAAGAAGGCTCAGCAAGCAAGTGAAGCACTTAGAGCGTAACACCGTTTACTTAATGCTGCACTGTGTTAATTTTGTTCTTTATTATTTCAGTCTCGAAAAACAGTATCTTGCATCTTTTCTACACGGCTATTAGCAGACTCGTTCACATTAATATCTGTGTTGGGAATACAGAAAACAATCAGGCAAATTAACTCATGCTCATTTGCTTAATGAAAAAAGATTATTAATGTCTGCTTGGAGCAGTGTGGACGCGATGATATTGTTTTCTATTCTGATGCTGTCTCAGCTCAGGGCAATGAACCGTTCAGTTAGAGATGCATTACGAAATCATTCGCCTCATTTTTAGAATCCGATCACCATGAAGCATGTAGAGGCTTACATGGTGGTGGTTGTTCATTTCAATGAAAAGGTCAAAATGGCAACGTATGATTTATTTAATCCTGGCTTTGCAGGTCATGACTGATTCAAACCCAATAGAATGATAGAGTGAGCCACAGAGACCGACGAAGCAAGGTTAAAGTGTACTGGAGGTGCATAATGGCTTTACCTAAGAGCAGTTTGGGGAAGTTGGAGGTCTCGATGTTATGATAGTAGACAATCGAGGTGATGCCAGCCATAAAGGCAAGACCTGCAGGCATGTACAGGTGAAGATGGAGAGATTTGCTGAACCTACAAGTAGGGCCAGCGGGAAGAGACAGAATTAAAAATAAGCAAACAGTGGGTCAAGTTTATGTCTCATTTCCATTTCTTTCGGCTTGGTTTTAATTAAAAAATGTGCATCTGTAACGTCAATTGACACTGCTAGGATGTTGTGGTCCGACCGGCAACAGTCCATACAACAAACTCAATTGTTATGGCAAGTTATCTGCCAGTGGTTGGTGGCATCGATGCTAATTGTGAGCGTTAGTGGCACTTTACCACTGTATGTTAGCATTATGTTAGCTGGGCCTTTAGACAGTTTGTTTGGAAAATACACATGTGGAATGCATTTTTGTTTTTTGTTTTTTTTTTTCTTTAGTTTAACAACAAATGTCAATTTCATTAAACATTTTAAAGCCTCTTTTGAAGAATTATTGATTATTTGCCAAACTGCTGCTTATTGTGAAATGAGTTGAATTGAGTCCACTACCACCATACAGCGCATGGATCTTAAGGTTCCACTTGCAATTGACAGCAAAAAAATCGTCCCCACTATATCAAGGCGCCACCGTACAGTCATTCTCATGTGACCAAATGAGGCAAGTGAGATATTATATTACTATCACTCTGATGCAGTGCAGTTCTACAACACTGCAAACTCCAAACACAATAATGAGCAGCTCAAATGTAGAGCTTGCTAATATTGTCAATCAAAATTAAGCATTATTATTTTTACTAAGATATGATTTTGAATCAAATGAAGTGTACAATGTATTTCTATCAAACGAATCATGCTACACACACACACACACACACACACACACACACACACACTCCTCACTGGTGTGTAAACTGACCAGTGATGTTTGTTTTGTTTTTTTTTTTATGTAACTCAACCAGTAAAATGTCAAGCAGGTGAAGAGTTCTTCTGTTGATGTCAGTAAAAGAACCCTCTGATCTGTACACACTCCACAAAGCATCTTACAAGCCATCTCTTGTTTGCTTCCAACCCCCACATATGAAGTCACCAAGCAGAGACACCACAGAGATCAACCTACCCATCGGAGACAATGCCCTCTGCAATCTCACAGACAAGGATGAAGAGCAGCACAAAGGTGAGCAGCCAGCGCAGGTTGTGACCTGGGAAGTGAAGCCAGGTGCTGTGGTGGATGTGGACCTTTGAGCTTTGACTTCCCCAGCCTCACACAGGAAATGAGAAAAGGAAGGTTATGGAAATAAAAACAGGTTTTTACATGATATATTTCTTTCTCAGTTCCCTTCAGCAGCAGTTTTGCGCCGAATAAGAACATTGTGAGCCTGCAATGTTTGACAAGGCTCGTAAAGGCTTTCTTGAGGTAATTTTTCTTCTGATAAATACTCAGGGAGCAGCTTTTCTGATCATTACAGTGATCGCAGAGAGGTGACTTCTGCCGATCCTTGAGACTATCGTTCCCCTCTGACTTCCATGTGAGCTAGCTGTGCTGCATCACTGTGTGTCAAGATGGTCAGGGTGCAATCAGTCTTATAAATAGAAGGTGCTGACATGAAATACTGCATATCTAGATGACTGCTGGTGGGGTAGAAGTTGTAATATTCATGCTAATCCGCACCTCTTCTATGTTTTTGTACTATGTAAAGAGCGGATAATAAACTCATGAGCCAGCGCTTTAGATTTCCAGTTGTGCTGCAGGGTGAGCAGTGTCTAGTGTACAAATGGGACTCTTGTTTAAAACATTCTTTCAGTCCACTCAAGGTAAACGTGAAAACTTAATGGTCCCTGAGGCCTGCGAAGGACAAGCAACAACACAGCTCAGGATAATAAAAGAAACAGCAATAAAGTGTCGCTTTCAACTATCCTTTTCCTTTTCACAATTGATTTACTTCACATTTGTCGTCGGTGTTTTGCTTCTCCACTACAGACTGCTCATTTGTTTCAATTGGCTCAATGTTTCACCTTAATGGAGTACATATTGCCTGCTAAATAGAGACTAAGCTGCAGGTTGCCACATCGAGGTGAGAATAACAGGCAACAGTGTGGTATTTTTTAGGTGCAGGTGATTCAAATTTTGAACAACAAATTATAACGCAAATGCAAATGTTGTGACAGAGGAGGCATAAACCACAGGCTTTGTTCCGGTGTCACCTGCACCTTCAAATCACCTTCAAAGCATCCCTCAGTATTGTTTTATTTTGATTTTTTAAATTGTATATACATGGATTTTTTTTCACAACATTTCAGCTGAATTATGATTTCAATTTTATATGAAGCTTCTTTGAGTGCTATGAAAAGTGCTTGATTCATTTATATGTACACAATATGAGTTTTGGTTGTCATCATCGTCGTCATCATAGTCGTAGTCGTAGTCGTAGTAGTTAGTGGCAGTAGTAGTAGTGTGATGAATGTGTGCATTAACTGTGAAACTTCCAAAGCCGCAGTTCCATACTATGACAGTGATTGACGTTTTTTTAAACAATTATTTCTACTGTGCTTGTGGCGAGTCATCTCGCCGACCTCCAGCAGGGTTACTTCAGCCATTGCCTGTGCCGTCTCATTCATGGTCTCACATCTCATTGAACTTCATCATCGGCCTACCTGTTTCCAAGGGCAAGTCAGTCATACTCACTGTGGTAGACCGATTCTCCATACTGGCTCATTTTTTGGTTCTGTCCAAGCTTCCCTCACCATTAGAGACGGCGCAGCGACTAATAGTCCCTCCTTTTCCGATAGCGCCTTGTTTTGTAAGTATTTTGGTTTTCCAATTCTTATGTGATTTAAGTTTCACGTGTTTAGGCTTTTGCCATTTCATTTTGTATATTTTCGGGTGCAAAATTTACCTTGCCGTTTGCAAGCGCTTTGTAATAACAAAATACGGTAATATAACAAAACAAGTAACAAAAGACATGGACAGTCATGCAATCATAAGCATATTCCGGCATGTTTGGTTTCCCTGGCTCTTTGTCGCCAGCGATTTCTGTTTGTACTTTGTTGGTCCTTCATTTTTCTATAAATTATTTTTGTATCGCAGTCTGCATTTGTGGGATGCGCACACCATGTGGTTCGTTTTTGAACCTTGTCAGTTGTGCTGTGAGAATTTTTTGGGAAACACTGTCCGAGGGAGAGTTGGCTTCGCTATGTGCATTCCCTTTTATTAGTGATGTCGACGCTTTCGCCATACAGTATTGTACAAAACAAGCTAGGACAGAGATGTGATTATTGCTTTCCTCTCTGGCACACCGCTTACATGCGCAGCTAGCTGTATATGGAAAACAGGTGAAAATACTTCCTTCCAGCATGAGTAGCGACAGTAAATGATGGAACCCAAAAGGCCACCAGGACACAGCACATGTAGGAAATGTAAAGGTCTACAGTGTCATGTTCTACACAAGATGGTGTCAATAGCTTCCAAAGGTGACAGTGTCCAATGTTTACGATGCATTCATGTTTACATATGGTATATGATATTTGTAACGTGATCGGTTCAAACCAACATGTCTTCAAGCCATTGTTATGCTAATTATTGCGGCACAGGCTACATACTGTATAGGAAGTCCGCTAAGCTGTTTTTATGTTTGGTCAGATGATTTTTCACGTATAGCGGAGTTGCAGTTCTCCGGTTAGCATTATATTTTTTTCAGTTTGTCATTAGCGGTACCCCTATGTGGCAACAACACAAAACAGCAAAGATGAAAATCTAAATGTTTCTTGAGTTTTGATGCACATTAAGATGAATTCCAGCGTGTCGTCATTTTCTCACAATTTGCAACGTTTGGTGTGCATGTTTCAATTATATTCTAATCACTCACAAATAATAATCAGAATAATTAAACTATTTTCCAATTATATGGCATTGGAAGCGCCAACTGTGGATGGTCCACAGTAACGGCATTTCATATATATGTGAAACAGGAACACAGAGGCAGTGTCAAACCAGTTATGGAGAGTGACAAATTGTTCATGTTTCATGCCTTCTCAAATGGTCGCGCACACAGGGAAGCAAAAGTTGTGGCAGTTACACACTGAACTTTACAATTCATGAATGGGCCACTACTGATTTAGGAAAGTAACAACAAAATCTTTTAAAACCTATACACCATTAGGCCAGAAAACATCATATAGATCAAAGAATATGCACAAATGTTCAAACCTGTCTGAAGCATGTCCATAAAAAATGTCAAACATGCTAAATGGATATTTAAGTTCTCAGACAATACACTGAGTAGGGGTACACTTGTTTGTCAATGTTAGAAGGCAAAGCAACCATGGAAGCCATCAAGTTGAAATCATTATTGATGAATTCATCACGTAATTAGCAAAATTGGGGGAAGGTTCTCAAACCTATTGTTGTGTGTCTAATTTGAGACCCACTGCGGGGACTTGTGCTCATGCTCCCTCATGTGAGTATATGCGATTGGTGGAGGTGTGGGGAAAAAACTCACCGATGAAGAGGATGGGGAATGTGATGAAGAGGAGGAAGACGTGTGGCACTAGGTTGAGCGCGTCCAGGAAACAGCCGTTGTTCAGAACCCCCCCGTCCACATTGTAGGCACCCGAGTTATTCTCGCTCCCACAGAACGCCAAGGACATGGTGGAACCGGGACTCTGCATGTAGCCAGCATGAGGAAGGAGAACAGAAGGAAGAGGGCGAGGAAGAGAATGACAGGGGGGGGGGGGGTATCAGAGACAGATGAGAGACCCACATATTTAAAAAACAAGCAGAATCGTGGCTTTTTAAAGGAGACACTGACAGCCTCTTCAGCAGCTCCTGGCAATTTCCAGTGTGACCTCTTTTCAGTTCTTCCAGCTTGCAGAATTTGGATCCAGTGACGAAGAGGAGAAATAAGGAAGGCGAGAGGTGGGGGGAAGGGGGGGGGCGTTAGAGACAATCCCAGTCCAGTGTAACGGTAGCTCCCTCGAATCCTCTGCAGTCTAAGCAGCTTTGGGGGTCATGATGGTGACAAACATCTGCATCCTGTCTGCCTGCGACTGCCCACATACTCTAAAAGTGAGGCTTCAGTTTTCGCTCAGCTCCGCACAGCTCCGTTGGAACGTGTTCACACTCTCTCACATGGCTCTCACACACACTAACAGGCGCACACAGGGAGAGCGGCGGCAGCATTCTGCAGTGCACCTGCTATTGCCGTGTCTTTTCAGACTGGAGCGACCTTGGGAGACGAGAGCAGGAGGGGCTGAATGTGTAGGCAGGCTGGACGAGTTCACTGGGAAAGGCAGGAGATGAAGAGGGGGAGGGAGAAAACACAGAGAGATGAAGACACAGAGGAGAGATGGTGTCTGCCCAATGGGGAGAGCAAACATCTTAGAATTGTAGGAAGCATGAACAAGCATGCTAATCTGAATCCCAACTCAGTTTTATGAGTTGCCGACCTCTCTCTCGTTTTCATTCATTGAACATATACATAGACCTCAAACAAAAAAAGAACTCACACAACCGTCCATTGGTAGGATGCAAACGTAAGAAAAGACATGAAATATTAATAGATTCCTGCATGGGATAAATGTGTTGTGTGTCCAATCCATTGGGGAGAAGACGGTGCGTGCAGCCAATCATGGAACTTGTTCAGAGGATCAGTAAAACTCACATGGGAGCAGATTTGAATAATATCATCTAAACAGAGACATCTGTGTGCCCTGCGATTGGCTGGCAACCAGTTTAGGGTGTCTCCCGCCTACTGCCTGAAGACACTTGGGATAGGCTCCAGCACCCCCCGCGAGCCATGTGAGGATAAAGTGGTTCGGAAAATTGATGGGTGGATACAGAGACATTCCCAATGGGTTTTTTTTTAATTACTTTTTTTTTTTTTTTTTTTTTTTACTATTACTGCTCACACTGCGTACATATAGGCTAAGTGACAATGAGCAGTTGCTATGAGCTGTGAGTGCTATTTTAAATCGCCATGGATACAAGATGTGATGCAAGTACTACACAGCTTGTACACTTGCATGCAATCACATCGTATGTTTTGATGCAGTATTATTGTGCCTTTCTGTCACACATTCAGAGCCATGTCTTGATATACCAGCGTACTGGAGGGATGTTCTGCCAGCTCAATTTAATCAGTTTCATGTCTCCAAAACCACATTTGGGGATCGATGAAACAAGTCCTTACAAGAGGAACATTTAATCAAACTTGGATGGTGACCTACATCAACGATCAACCTCCATCAAAGGTGTACATGTGGTGAGTGTGCAGGGAAAAACAGGGCGAGAATAAAATCCGCTCAAATGTAGGTCAACATAGCTTGGACAGCACAGGAAAAAAATATGTATGCAGTCCTAAAAGATAAGACTGGAAGACAAATTGGGAAAGCACGCACAACTCAGCTAATGTAAATTTGAGCTCCAGGCTAAGAGGTGAAAGGTGAATTTGTTGGATCTCATCTCACCAGGAATCCTCATCACTTTTTAGCTCAGGTTTGCACCAATCCGTGGTTTGATATGATATCTATATCAGTGAGTGCAAGTTTTCCAGCAGCTGCCTTTAAATCCGACAGTTGAATTCGTGTCATTGCAGCACATTACGACATTTAAGCATTAATAAATGCGACTTAATCTGAATACAAATCGGGATTGCACAGGGAGATTAGTCATCAAAATACAACAGTATGAATAACATCCCAAGTGTTGAGGCAGGCGATCACGAACTTACCGGTTTGTATCGTGAGATCATCGTTGGCTTCTCAGCATTGCCACGTACGTCACTTCCGACGGAGAAAAGGAGAATAAAATACCGAGGGGCGTCCTGTCATGAGCGCGGAGAGCAATCCGAAATTTGGACAGGTGGCGGAGGGCGTTTTTTCAGGCTTGGAGCTATCCTCGGTGCTGAAGTCGGGTGCAGCGAAGGTGAAAGATCACAACGAAGTCGGGGCAAAGAAGGCAGACACAGGCCCACCCTTTGTCCCCCCCCCCGTCATGAACCGGCAAGCAGTTCAAGCAAAAGCCTCGCAGAGGGTCGATTTAATCCTACAAATGGTAGCCGGACAAAAGTCACGTATGCAGCGCGAGTGGAGATGACTACACAGTGTGGTTACATAACTGGGAAAAGGGATGAAACACACAGCACATGCGGAACACTTTTACGAGGAGATTGTTTGACCTACTTTTTTTAAGATGGATTTTAAATGTTCTTTTAATACCACAGCAAATAACCTCATCAGGATGTGTGCAAGAAACAAAGCTTGAAGACGTGAAGGAATGTATGAAACTAGAAATTTAGGGAGAAGCACTATTGGCCCCTGTGGACACTCATACACGACGACCGTCAGTGCAGGATTTTGCTTCTTCATACTAGTTTCCCTGTCAGGGATGTCAAACTCATTTTCGATTATAGTTCCCTGTTCTGACTGTAAAAAAAACTGTACATGTTTCATATTATGACACATTTGCCCGTGTAATTGATTGTCGAATACATGTAATAGCTTATTGTTAAAATAATTTTGAAATCATAAGACATGGGCGGCGGATTGAGAGACGGCACTACTTCGGGGAAGGAGAGAATTGTGGAGGAGGACTTGGAAAATGTATTTAAGATCAAGAACAGATTTAATGTCTTTGTATTTCAAGCCAATTTCAAAGTAAAATTCCACTAAATTCGCCATCCATGTTTGTTGTTTTCACTTACCCAGGAGAAGTTTGCTTTATCTCGCAGTCTTTGCGAGGGAGTGCAAAACTTTGCGAGGGAACGCAAAGTTTTTTTTCTCTCTCATGTCCCCTTTGGGGCTCCGTAGAATACTGTTAGAATAGTCCAGTGGTGTAGAAATGCTTGCATCTGAATGTGTCATTCCAAGAGCTGCCTTTGATATTTTGTCTGGCATGCAGCTTAAAAAAAATAACAGTACATGCTCAGTCTCTGCAAAATATCTTTGTCGTAAAACAAACAAACCAACAAACAAACAAAAAAAAATATGAATATACTGCACTCCGTATGATGCAACACACCTATGTCTTTGCAAGCTACATTTTTTTAATTAGCACAATCCAAATTTATTTTAAACAAATAAATAAGTGAAGATAAAATACTTTTAATGGGAATCTTTGAGCAGGAAATGACACAAGAAAGTGGCAAAAGATTATTGGACATTGTAATGAGAATAAATGTATGAATTTCATATTGGCCATTTTCTGCAGCATGTTTGCCTCACAATCGAGCGGTTCAAGGTCCAAATCTTCAAATTCTTCCTGCGCTTGCGTGGCTTTTGTCTAGATTCTTCCTAGATTGGCGGATTAATGGATTTGCTAGTTTCATTAAGGATGAGGCAAAACTGGACAGCAGATATCGATTCTTAATTCCTTTGTTATTCCTGTAAACGGCAGTTGAGTTGACTCAATTTGACATTGCCTGAAATACGACACACATCTATTCCCACTAAGACCCAAGCATATAGGAAAGCATAAACATGTTTTTTTGTTGTTTTTTTTTTTTTAGGGAGAGGGGTGGGGGCCGAGGCTTCACAGCCCAGCCTCGTGTGGAATACTACTTTATCAAATTAAGTACTGATCATGAGCATCTTTTACAAATCAAGAGAAAGGCAATTCACTCTCTCAGCGGGATATTCCGTCTCAAATTTGCAAACTAAGAGCAAAAGAAGCATGAGGTGGCTGCAGGAAAGTGCATTATTGTGATGTGATGGAAACGATAAGGTAAATCCCAAAGGAATCCTCAAGAATGAAAACGCTTCTTCTTCTTAACCAGACTGGTGGTCTACGCAGAGACTAGAAGAAGGTTCTGTTGGAGGAGACAAAAAAGATATGTATAGTTTACTCAAAGGCAATACGAGCACACTGACAAAATGTTTTGTCTTAAGGATACTCTGCAACACAACAATGTAACACACATGCAGCTGAGTTTTAGAAGCAAATAATAGTCCAGTCGAAACCAAAACCTTTCGTGCGACTTATTCTGCATTTATGCAAAGCTTTCAAAATGAAAATAAATGAGCATAATTGATCAAGACAGCAGTGTGTACTAGTGGAGAACTCCCCCATTCAGTCGCTTAGTTGACAATGCATGCTAGAACATGTCACAGTCCCGAGGAACGACCTCAGTCAGAACAACTCCCGGAGGCTGGCAGGAGTCTCGGTCTGCTTTATGAACATCCATGACCTCAGGGCACAGGACAATACCACACAGGCCACACATGTGGCTGTATGTTTGTATAAAGCACGCAGGGTTGGCAGATATATGATAGGATGGGTCAGTGATCACATTAGCTGTTAATGTTTTCACCCGAATAGCATGTTTTTATCCAGTGCACGTTGGATCAAGAGATATCGCCTTAAGACTTTCTTTTCTTTGGCTGAAAAAGAAAGTCTATCGTACACGTTACTGACTGCTGCCACTTCCACAAAAGTGGCAAGAAAATATAAAAATACTAGTTTTGTTCCTCCTGAGTGACAGTCACATGTGCTTGAGTTCGGCGAGGGGGGGGACAAATGCCACAGACAACATCAACATCCACTCTGCTGTGCAGAAGAGGAGGTTTGAAAGCAGATCGAGTTACCGGGTTGCGGGTTAGGGCTGAAGCAGGTAGCCGTGCCTGTACAGTGTTGCACTGCCTTCAAACACCTTTCTGTTCACACTGGGACTGACTGACTTTGGGCTGCACAAAAATGTGCAGACACATAGAAACAAACTGCATCATCATATTCTCTGCCCGATCTACATATATTAGTTTACTGGCATCATAATACAGATACTGTATAGGTATTTATTTCAATCAACAGCAAATGCGGCAATACACAGTGATAACAGAGGTTTAAAAAAAAAAAAGGGAACACTTACATTTCATCTTCATAATGTTTTGGGGGCGACACTGCAACAACAACATCGATCCAGTCCTGAAAATGATGACAGATTCGATTTGTGTCGGGTCAAAAAAATATATTTATCACCAAGCCAACAGTGAAAGTGTCATGATCGGTGTTTTTGTTGCCTTTGCTTTGATTAAATTAGGGTTTGTTTCATGTATTGTCATGTTTTCCCTGTTTCCATTTTTTCATGTCTTGTTTAACTCCTTCGGTTTTTGTTTCCACCTGTTGTCGTCAGCCAGGTCCCTTGTTTCGACCAATCAGCTCTCTCACACAACTCGTGTCTTCTATTCAGTTTCTTTCCGTCTTTGTCAGTTCATCGCTTCTGTTTTTGTTGCTGTCTTGTCATGTTGTCAGTTGCGATGAGCCCATTGCCAGATTTGAGAACTGTTGTATCTGTTTTTTGGGACTTCTCTTGATATGTAATTGAGTATTTCTGATTCCACATGTCTTGTTGACTTTTTTGTTTGTTTGTTTTGGGGATTAAAAATGTGGTTTTCCCGAACAGTGCTGAGGTGCTTTTGAGCAAGGCACAGAATCCTCAAACTATATACCGGACCATCTGACTTGACTGACTGGAAAATCATGAAATGAAAACAAATGTAGTCGCATAAGCAGCAAGAATACAAATTACAAAGTAGAAGCCGACTGCTAAGTAAAGTTTATTTATTCATGTGCTGTCACGTCCCTGCCCAACTTGGCCTTAATGCAAGTGGACTCTAATAGAAAAAAAAAAACACATTCCTTGATTTTTGTCCAGATCTGCACTAACTGTAAATGTAATGGCTTTCTCCTTGATCTATGTGCTGTTACACTATGTTTGTGTTATGTTTTTAACAATACTGTTGTTGGTATATCTGATGGCTAACTATTCACGTTTAGATGGGGGATACAGTAAGACACTGAATGAAATGATACAATACCCCTCCACTATTCCAGGCTCGTGCCAGAGAGTTTTGTCCTTCAGTCAGCGGAGCATCTATCAGGATCTTCCCATTAACAGCCATAAGTTCATCACCTGGTACAATACCACCTACAAATGCACATTACAGACATTTAGCTAGCGGAGATAAATTCATAGCACTGGTACTGAACACACACACTATAGGGATGAAATACATACCCGTATAGTAATAAACCTTGACGAAACTTCAGGCGGTTAAGATTACCTTTCTTAATAATGATCACGCCGTCATACTAACCGTGCTTGTCTGCAGCCCCTCCCTCATAGACAGACGACACCACTAACTTCCCCAAAGGTGAGTCAGCACCCCCCTCCAGAGCCAAGTCAAGCTGTCCCTCCTGAACACAAGCATCAGTCATGCTCACCTTACATTTAGTGACAAGGCAACAATCATCCTATTAAGGATCATTTCATGTATGTATGTATGTATGTATGTATGTATGTATGTATGTATGTATGTATGTATATAATAATGATGTATCTGGAGTAAGTACCTTTCTGATTCGCAGCAATCTCACGTCTCGCCCTGCTATCTGGTCTGATGAGAACTTGTTTCACAGGGAGGAAGATAAATGAGAAGGAAGAAAAAGCACCGCAAAACACGTGAGCGCAATAGTAAGCAAACAGAGATGCCAAACTAAAAGAGGAATCACCTTCTCATTTCTGTTTGGCCGCCTTCAGTGATCATTTAGTAGGATTTAAATATGATTTACAATGTTACCAAAAAAAATAAAAAATAAAAAACTTTGTGGTAGCAGTACCGATACATTGTTCTTTCTAATCATTAATTCCTTTGCTCCTGGTCCTCACTGGGGTGAACTGGAGCCTATCCCAGCAGACTTTGGGCAAGAGGTTGGGCACATCCTGGACTGGTATACAACCCATTATCATTACATACACAACTATCACTTGAAATCTATCACATTAATCATGCTAAGATGTTTATACAATACCATTGAGTGGGGATCGAAGTCTTCCATGTACTTCTGAAAGCCCTGGAGGAATATCAATCTGCATTACATCGAGCGCATCCATATATCAATAAAGAATTCACAAACAGGATACGATGCCACAATGGATGTGAATGTTTTGTGCTCACATTTCCTTTGACAACCAGTTTAATTTTACTGTAGGTAAAAGATAGGACAGATGATTCATTCTGCTACTGCCACTCATTATTACTCTCCGTATTAATGATGTGCAGGTTATTTCCCTGCCCTTGGAGCGGTACTAGAAGTGAAAAGTGGCAAACCCACAAAAAGAAAAACAACCTTACTTGTTGGGATTCTGAAAGAGTGGACAATCACTTGTAGGCTGATTACAACCACTGGAACCATCAAAGAGTGGCACAAAATTACCAGGGTTCATTATTTCTGGATGAGAAGCACACTCACAATTTGGCTAAGAAATTTGTCGAGGAAGCAGAAGGGGAAGTAAAAAATGAAAATGGAACCCGACTGTTGAAAAGTTATTAATATGACCACTTGTACTTATGATTCAAGGATAAATCAATAAATAAACTCTACATGGAACTACTTAACATCTGCAAAGTTGTTAAACATTGCAATTATTGACAAAAGAAGGACACACACACACCCCTCTCTCTCTCTCTCTCTCTCTCTCTCTCTCTCAACATCTCCAACACTGGACTTTGGTGCCCTGCTAGAAACAATAGAGGAAGACTACGGCAAAAGTAGGAAGGTTGTTTAACACGGAAGCTTAAATTACTTGTGGTTTGCTGTTTGATTTAAAAGAAGAGTTGAAAGGCACCATCCGTTTCAACATTTCTGCAGGCTGAAACACAAGATCACATGAAAATAATAAGAGAAAAACATGAAGACGGTCGGGCAATTTCGTAACCCGATTACACTAGTCAACAGCAAATTTGAATCAGAGACGGCTTTTCGTGCTCCTAAACAAATTTTTGACACCGATTTCTAAAATGTCTTTACTTTTATATACTGTACTTTACAAAAAGCACATTACATAGTTGGTGACATAGCGTAATTGCATGAGTCATTTTTCAATATTTTTGAAAGACAAAAAAAAAAAAATCTACCTTTTTAGAACACACAGTATTTTTTTAATTGATATTGTAACAAAAAAAACACACAAACAAATAGGTGAACAAGGAAGCAGAAGCAAAAAGAAACAATAAAAATAATATATACCAATGTGTGTTCTAAAAGTATTTTTTGTGTTCCTAAAATATTGAAAAATGACTAATTATGCTATGTGGCCGACAAGATATATACTGTGTGTGTGTGTGTGTGTATATATATAAAAAAAAGCTATAGATCCACAAATATTATTTTCCATAAAATGTACAACTACGGTGCTTTACGACCCTCGTATGGGGAATCAGGTGGGTCACAGCATACCAGGCCATCAGAACGAACAGCAGGTCTGAGCGGGTCTGGTCGGTGGGCCTGCGACTGAGGCAGCATGACGGGCTTCGACATGACGGGGATCATAGGACGCCTTTGGTTTGGAGGACTAGGTGCCAGTTGCTATTGAAATATTGTCAATGTATTTAATAATGTTTGCAGTTACGTTCTAACAAACATTGACAAGTATGAAATGTATAATTTAACAGCGTAACTCACCAATGAAAGAGTGGAAATGTGACTGGCATGTGAAGTATTTCTCATAACCTGAACCACAGTGAAATGCAATGAAAGGTTGCTGCACCGTGTACAGTGAAAACGCCTTTGGACCCACACTTGTTAACTTTCACAGCATGGATCAGGTGTTAAACCATAACGTTAAACATATTGCCTCATCTCATTTTGCTTTATGCATGGCCACATTATGAAATCACGAAAAGACAGAAAACTGTCCAATCACTGCACACCACATGCAATGCATCATCATAGCAAAACCACTACCAATCAATACCAGCTAACAACATCTTCAAGACATTTCCTGAGGCTAAAGGGAACTCTATAACAAGCCAATAAGTCATGCCATGACCAAACATCCCAGTTAGGGAACAAGATATGCATTCATGAACACACAATTGTGCCTCGTACATGAGAAGCTCTAACCTTGGGACTTGAAGGATAGGACACTTCACTAGGGTTGGATGAGTAGAGGCCCCCTCTTGGGAGGTAGCCACCCGCCTCCCATTCACTCCGGCGCTCAGGTGGACTTGAGGAGGGAGGCAGATTATGGTGCTGGCGGTATCCACTGAGGGCACCTACTCTTTCTTCAGGCTGTTGGGGCGGTGGAGGAGGTGGGGGTGGCGGGGGTGGAGGTGGAGGAGGCGGTGGCGGCGGGGTAGGTGTCGGGGTGGGCTGAGGGGATGAAGGTGGGTGGGTTGATTGAGGTGCAGGGGGATAATGGGAGGAAGGTGGTTGTGGGGCTTGTGATAGATGAGGTCTGCGCCCCTTGTTGGCCAAGGGAGACGAGGCAGACGGGGGTTTCCGAGCGTTGGGCGGAGACGGTGGCTGGCGCTGTGGAGATACTTTCGAAGAATAGTTGGGGATGGTGGGGTTTAGTTTGGGTGAAGGCGGCGGGAGAGGCAAAGGAGGGGGAGGCTGGCTAATAATTGGTGGGGTGGGGGCTAGTCTCTTCAGGGGCCCCTTCAGACTCTGATCCACATGATCCAAGTTAATGTCATCCAGGTCAGTAGTGGCTAAGTGTAGACCTCCAGGGAAACGCTTCACCTTGGGCTCCGAAGAAGGTGAAAGTGGTGGTGACAGCTTCAGAGCACAATAAAAATATGTTGCGATACTGTATAGACAGATAGTTATGTGTGGCAAAGGTAAATATTTCTAGACGTCTGTGGTCTGGTTTGAACTGTACACATTAAAATGAGTAAAAATCTGGTCCACACTGTGAATTAAAAAGGGAAATAGCCGTGCATGTATTTGGCAATAATTTCATGAAAACTGTCCCAAAGATCAGTTTCATGTGACGTATGCATACATTAATTCTGGCTGCGCGGGCATCTTGGAGACAGAAAACACACACTTCTGAGTAGTAATAGTCTCGTGCCGTGGGTTGTTAGAATGGAAAGAGCACACACAGAGGTCTAGTCTTTTATAGAATTCCTGCTGGTAAACATCCCTTTCAGAAAAAACGGCGAAATGTATGGTTACAAGCTTGACGACGTGAGAATTGGACCAAGGAGGCAATTAAGAATGCTCGTCTTTGCAAACAACAGTGACGTCATTGAGATGTGCGCGCATCTTGGAGGCAATGTTTGCAAACATTGAAACTCATCGATTGCCAAAACCAACCATAAAATATTAAATTTTATGAGCAACTAAACTCGCTCCCTACAGGTCATGTTTTAAATACATTTATTCGTCACTTCAAACAATTTGAGAGCCTGAGCTTGAAAGGTACAGTGTGTAGAGTTTAGTGTCATCTAGTGGTGAACAAATAGAATGCAACGACCTAAGCTTGAAGCGCATCCCTTTTTTAGCACGCACACTCAGGTGCGTCGGAAAGACCATACTTTGGAACCTAAAATACATTCATCAGCGGAGGTTCAAGAAACATGTCATCCCAAACCACTTCTAGTGTTATAATACTTCAAGTGACGTAAAAAGTTCAGGCTAATTATTACGTACGGTGAACTCATCATGTTGAAGAAATGCGTTTGCTAAGTTTGTCTCTTGGGATATCCTTAGCAAAAAGATGGTGTAGGGGAGGCGCGCCCTATGTAATTAGTTATTACTTCACCTATACTGTACTTAAATTAAAAAAAGTAAATAAATAAATACATTGATGTGATAGAATATATATTTTGCTCATTATTGAAATTAAGTGGGGGGGGGGGGTTAAATAATGAACAAATCTTTACGCACTGTCCCTTTAAATGGTCTTGAGACAGCCAGCATTTTACTCCATGTGAAAAAGTTAAAAATATCTTTAGAGAGATATCTAGAAGATCAAAGTGACATAGGTTGTCATTTTTTTCACTAGGTACCTCTGGTGACTCGTTCTCCACACAAGAGATTTGTTCCAAGCGAGTCTGACAAAGACACTCAACCCAGTGTTGTACTTTCTCAGACTCCTCCAGGTCTTCTCTCTCTGTTTCTGAAACCTGACATACAGGCATTATAATTCAGTACGGGCGAAAACCCCACACATCCCCACACTAAGGCACATTCATGTTATTTGAAATATGTCAATTATTTCAGCAATGAAAGGAACACAAAATACTGTACTGTGCAGAGCAAGAACAGCAAATTCAGTTTGCTGTGTATTGTACCTCCTGAACCAGCCTATTGATCTTCAACTGCTTCTCTTTTTCGTACATCTCTTCTTTCTCCTTGGCCAATTTCAGCTCAAACTCCATCTCCTTTTTGTTTTTTCTCTGCTCCAGCAGCGTGTCTGTGTTGGACATTTTTTTCTTTTTCTTCTTCTTCTCGCCTTTCTGCAGCGCCAATAGTTTTTAAATGTGAAACAAAATCTGTCAATCACTGCAAACCCCATGGCAAGACAGGCACACACTTGTTAAAAAAAAAAAAAAAAAAAAACAACACTGAAATTATCATGCGACTATAAACTCGAACCCATCTTAAATAAGCTCTCACACAGCAACAAAACCAACACTGTAAGTCAACATTACCTTGCGGAATGAAGGAAGTTTCCCCTCATATCGGTAAAACCAGCTAAATGCTATGGAGATGAAACAATAGCTCAGCATTACCTGGTTACAACTGTAAGTAAAGATAAAAATCTATCACACATACAAGAAAAGCAGGGAAGGGAAGAGAGAAGTCCAAGATGACGCCAGAGTAGGCAGCCGTCGGCAAGTGCTCTCATGAGCCTTGCTTTTTTTTGTTGTTTTAGTATTTGTTTTGTCACTTTGTGTTTGTTGTTGCGTCGTGTGGACCGGCTGTGGATTGTTTTTTCGCATTTTTTGGCCACGACATTCATCAAGGAGGAGACTCGGTGCTTGGTGGTTGCGCCTTCTCGGCAGCATGGGTATACCAGCACTGTTTTTGATTGGGAGGAATGTCGGTGCCATTTGCTGGACAGCTCTGGGGCGCTTGTGTTTTTTTGCGCCTGTATTGGGCAGCATTTTACACAGCCCCGCTTTGTTCAGCGGAGAGATCGGTGCTGTTGGACAGTCTGCGGCTGGATGGATGCAAGGCTTGAGGAGCCGATGATGAGAAGAAAGGAGCGCCAGCGCAGAGCGCCGATGCGGATGTAGAACTGAGAGTCGCGGTTTGGAGTTGAAGCGGATTACGTGGGACAGGAGATGTGTGCCAATCTCTTTTTGTCAATGCATGCTACAGCTTCGTGTTTGCTTTCGAAACTTAGCTTGTACATTTTCAGTATGACGTCTCTGATCCACTGGTGAACGGACTCTTTGATCCTCTCCTCTTTCATCTACAACTGCTTCAAACAACAAAGTGTATGCAGGAAAAGTGATTAAGATTGCACGACTGTCTGTGTCTTATGTGTTGTGCTGTGTTATTTTGACTTCAAGAGGGCGCCCGCGAGAGTGGCTGCCTTTCCAGCAGCTCCTATATTTTGTTCTTCTACTTCTTCCTTTCATAACTTTGCTGCTGTGTAAATTTCTCCATTGCGAGGCTAACTTATCTTATCTTATCAAGGCTTGGCCTATTTGTACTGAACCATGGACGGTGCCCATGGATTTACAACAACAAAACCAGTTCACACATGAAAAGTTGACCAAAACTATGACTCCATATTTACTTTTGCTAGATCTACCGACCTCTCTTGCCTTTGCTTGTGCTCAGTTAAGAAGCGACAAAATATTCGAGGATTATGGGGATAATAATTAGACTAGGTTGTCAAAGGAAGTCTAGCCCAAGTTTGTTCATACATGTCGACGTTCACATTCTACTTATCCACACTCACTAGGCTGTCCTGCTCATCCTCCTTGGCCTCATCTGTGAATGAGCTGGCTTCATCATCTTATTGTAGGTTGATAAGAAGCAGCACAGCACACAGCAGTGATTTAAAAAAAAAATTAAAAAAAAGACCATGCTCGGTTACAGCTATATGCTGAAAGCTCAAGGTAAAAAAAAGAAGGTGAAATTTTCATGCAGCGGTCGAAAATCCAACTTGGGGGCTTACGAGAACTTTTGGCTTTCGGAGACTGAGCGGTTGTAATTTCAAGTGGGCTGGGTGATGGGCTCCTTTGAGGAGCCTGAGGCCGCTCGGTGGCACCATAGTCTTCTTCCCACTCTCTGTGGTGTTTCCTCTCCACAGCCTCAATCCTTAAGAGGATGACAAAGTACAGAAACATCAGTTTAGCATGCAGATGTTGAATGCTGTCTTAAACAGCAGGAATGCAACTAATTACCTCTCCATCTCCTGCTTGTAGCGATGCTCTTCCTCTGCAGCCTTCTGCGAGATCTCCATTTTCCTTCTGGTGATAAAATGTAAAGCCCACATTGTATAACTCTCCACACAACATACAGTACTTGAAGTAAAAGGTAATTATACAGTATGAAAGAATTTCATCCAATGTGTTAGTCTTCCTCTGGGAGTTTTATACAGCCATATTAATCTGCACCCAATATTTCTGCATGTTAAGTGCAATCACAAGAGACAAGACAAATAAATATAAAATGTCGTACATCTTGCACAAATTGTTGTTTCCCGCGTGGGTTGAGTCGGTGCGCAGCCTGTCTGCTGTCCATTTAAATATTAAAATTGATTTCCTTTTACACAAAGTCAATTCAGGCAACCTTGTTTTGTTTACCCATTTTCTACGATATTAATTTAAAAAGAAGAATGTGCTCCAGGCATTTCCTGTAAATAAAAAACATAAATGACTTTGAACGCTTTCATCAATCATCTGAACACTTATTTTTAAAATGTCACATCTGTGTTTTTCCAATTCCATTCTCATTGTGCCATGAAGATGAATTGACCACCGGACTGCCTTACATCAAAATTCACCATCAGCTACTGTATCCAGTAGAGAGGTGCAGCAGAGTAACAAGACAATGCTCGTATAACAGACTGAACTTTGGATGAAACTAAAACCAAGTGCAAAAATGTAGTTGGCTGTGTTTGCACTTGGAGTTCAGTACTTGGGTGTGGACCAAAGACCAAGTGATGCACAACTTTGTCCACTCCCCTTGTGTGCTTAAAAGTATTTGTAATGATCTACATACACACAACTACATATTGCCGCCAAAAAGCATCAACATAAAGTCACAACCTGTTATTTCTCTGTGCTTTTTGCTGTTTTTTTTTTTTATCCCCATCCACCTTATTTATGCAGCATTCATATTTAATCTTAAGTGAACCAAACCACTGAGCATCCACACCTGACCAAATGAACCATAGTGTGACAATAATTGTACCAGAGTTTGTTTTAATCAAACCAAACCTTACAAGTGTTTAAACACACATGCTTCTACTGCTCTTTTTTACTGGAAGCAGAAGACATAATTTGTTCATGAAGACAAAACATCATTTCAGTCCTGTGAAGTCGTCAAACAATTTAGGTGGGTTACATTTTCTTTTAGGGGTGAAATACACAGCTCACTATTATAGAGCCATTAAACCTTCAGTAACTTACTGTCTCTCCTTCTCCTGCTGCTCTTTAAGAATCTTGTTGGTCTCCATAGCCACCCTCTTCTGATGCATCAGCTCCTGCCTCTCTAGTTCCCTGCGTGCCTCCACTGCCAGACGCTCCTCGTCCGTCATAAACAGCTCGCTGCCCTAAGAAACCAGCATGAACCAGAGAAAAGAATGGTGTGAGCCAACCAACCTCCTGGACTGTGAAGCCAATGTCTCATTTCATCTTAGAGCTTCACCGATGGTTTGCACATCTGCTTCAAAGTCAAGGGATCCACGTTTGAATCTCATTTGGGACATCACTTAGTGGCTTTTGTCTGTTTTTCAGGGTAGGCCGTTTTTCTCCCACATACCCAAAACATGATGCATGGGTTAATTTCACAACCTGGCAGTGAATGTGAGTGTGAATTGTTTGTCAATTTGTGCCCTGAGAATTATCAGCAACCAATCGAGGGTGCATCTAGCCTCTCTTGAGTTCCCTTAATGAGGACAAGTGGTGTCGAGGATGGATGGATGGATGAATGGGTGGAGGGTTCAAAGACATAAAAATGTAACATGCTGGGGCATGTTAGTGTTATCGCTCATGAAAGCCTCTCATCTTGAAATACATTCTCAAATGTTAGTAATCCATAGGAGGACATTCTGCATCCAGTATGTAGAAAAGGAAAATACAAACACAAATGCATTTGACAGACACAGTAAATAAGACGAGTCGGCTTGTCATTTATTACACATTCATCATCAACAGCCTGACGTGAACGAGCTCATGAAAGGTGTGATTGATGGTAAATGATGAGAGACCAAGGGGAAGGCTGAATGATAGAGCCATAAAAACACACAGGGATGTGGCTCAATGCCTGGATACATATAACAAAATGAACATGCTCTATTTGTGTCCACAACCATCATTGGCTGAGGGAATTTTACTCGATTGCAACTTGAACGATAAATCAAGCATGTTATTTCCATAAACAGTACAGATTGTCTACTCTTTAAAAATGGAGTGAATAGCCCAAATCGCAAGTGAAATGTACAACAAAAGTTCAAAACACAAATGTCATAATGTAATGTTAGAATGTACTTACAGCTCCTGTCAGAACTGTAATGGTCAGGCTTCGGCTGCTTTTGAGGACTCTCACAGCCTTGTAGGGTCAGAAAACAAAGAAAGACAAGTAAATGAGGGCCAGTTTCAATGATTTTTACAGGTATAACAATCTAGTCACATGACACAAATAATGTGGTGTACTATTAGTAAACAGTTCTAATGGTATCTTTCCGTCAGCCACAAATTTACAGTCCTAGTTTACAATAGACTACATGCTCTCTTGCAAAACCATGTTGACTACATGAATACTAATTTTATTGAAGTATCGAAAGGGAAATGAAAGGACAGCATGGTCAAACTTAAGAAGTTATTGTAAGGCCTATTTTCTGCGTTTACCTCTTTGTGGTCCACGTTGGTGAAGTCTACCCCATTCACCTCCACGATCTGGTCTCCAATCTATATTTTGCGCACACATACGGACATATGCAGTTGACGACAGGAAGCCCCACAGATCATCTGGAGATTGGGGGCACTCACCTGAAGTCCGACCTCTGCAGATAGCGAGCCTGCTTTGACGTTGCTGATGTAGATGCCAGGTTTCTGTGTGGGACCACTGGAGATGCTGATGCCCATACCTTTGGTACCGACGAGGCTGAGGAAAACCTTCTTCTCCTTGATCTCCTTCCCTCCAATCGATGCCAAACCAGCAACACTGCTTTTTTTCTCCTGGGTTGCACATCAATCAAGAACAACAGAACCTGCAAGAGCTGACTGGTGACCATTATAAAAGGTAAGGGTCAATGTCAAGTTTTTTTCTGTTACCGTATCTGCGTGGCTTGATTATATTATCACAACTGAACATACAGTATATGACAAAATATACCCTTGTCAGAAATGACATTTGAATGTTGTTTTTTTTTTGTCTGTCTTGTATTCTACCATTTATAAAATAATTACTGGGGTTGGATAGTATCAATATCAACTTGATCCTCGCTGGCTACCATGATACTACAGCTACGCTTGAAAAGGTGCAGTGAATGAAAGTGTCTTGTGACACCTTACTGATTCTTACTCACCCCTGATTCTGACACAAATTGATCGACAAACTGCCACTTGAGGGGTTCATCTGAGGAGCTAAACACACGAGACAGTGATCATAATGTCTCACTTGCAGAATTATAACTTGAAAAAAAGTGAGAGTAAATTATAAGCAGCAATGTACCTTTTTACAGGAATCATCCCCACATCTACAAAAAGTAAAAAATAATAATAATAACATTGAATGATATACTAGTGCCTTGAAAACACAAAAAACATGACTCATACTGTCGTGTGTGATTAACGCACGTCTGACTTTGAGCGACACAATCTTCTTGGTCTTGATTAGACTGATGACTTCCTCATGTATACAAGAAGAGATGGAGTATCCGTTGATGCGAACAATCTCATCACCCACCTTGAGTATCAATACAGAATGGAATAGCATGAATAATACATTCAGAATTTCCTGAAATAGTTGTTAGCCTAGCAATTTACATGCATTTTCCAGTATGTTTAAAGAATAGGCTTTACTGGTCCCTATGAATTTAATGATTAAGTGGCGCGGCTCATTACTTTGGACCAGGAGTCACCAACTCCGGTCCTTGAGAGCCCCTATAAAAATGATGTCACTCTTCTCCAAGACACTTAATTCAAACGATCAGGATTATTATCAGGCTTCTGCAGAGCTTGCTGATAAGACGATCATTTGAATCAGGTGCGTTGGGGGAGGGAGACATCTAAAACACTGTGGATAGGGGCCATCGACGACCGGCATTGGTGAACCCGTTTTGAGACCACGTCAGATGGTTCTGTTGTTTTCGGCAACAGTATTATTTTCTAAGACCCAACCCGATACAACTTCTCACAAGGAGAGAATATCACACTGAACGATTTGATTGCTGTTTGATACCCTTTGAGACAAATATACCTAGCCATAATTCTGCAGCAAAGATCCATTGAGATGTGGGTTTCCTCATTGTCCTTGCCATTAAAACCTCAATAAGATGCCTGAAGCCTGATTACTACTGAGGCAAATTAAAATTAAGAAGCCAGAAGATGGAAAACACATTACTGTCATGACAGAATTTCTTCTATCTCTTCTATCATTAGGAAAATGTTGTGTCGTTTGTTCGAGAAACAGAGGACCTGCTACCCTCTAGTGGACAAATGTGTCATGAAAAGATAATAAAACAATTCCACTCTCGCCGTTCTTTTTATGTAACAGTGACAGATGCCATCGTTCAACTGATATATTTCGAACCACATACAATATATCTGTACACGTCATACCGAGTACTGCATGGTACACATTTCTAAATACTATTTCAAGAGCAGAGGTGTATTGTAAGTCCTTGCCTTTTATATATAGCATTATGGAAACATAAAATAGATAATAAACAAACCTGAAGACCAACATTACCAGCCTGACCATCTGTGACAATTTGTGATATGTAGAGACCGCAGCCAAACTCCAGCCCTCCTCGGACACTTAGACCCAGTCCATCACGATGTGTGCGATCTAATCGCACCTCTTTCAGCTTCCTGGACCCGTGCGTGTCATAGGGGACATAAGAAAGGTAACAGCAGAATGAATATGTCATGAAGAGAGATCTTATGAGTTTAATGATTCAAACTGCAGCTGAGAAATGCATGCCGTTCGACACACCTGGACCTCTTCGGGGTTAGCAGGTCGTACTCGACCTGGTGTTTGAGTGGGATGAGCGGTCGGATAGCATCAAACAGGGGCAAACGCTTTGGTTCATTGATTACTAACTTCAGGTCCCCAACAAGCACAGGCAAATCCATGGACCTGTCACACAGCAATTAGAAAACTACTTTTATTTCATTTAATTAGACATGATGAGACCAGAAACGGGAATTCGACCCAAAACTTTTCTTTTCAAGAATATGTTCTATGCACCTGCACTAGTCCAAACATGGCATTCCGATTCATATTGCTTATGTAGAATATAAGTTAAGAAGTAAAATCCACCCATTTTATTACATCTCGGGCGGCAGCCATTTTGCCACTTGCTGTCGACTGGAAATGACATCACACTTGCTCAGGGCTCTGGTACGACCAATTATGCCTCAGCTTCAGAAAACAAGTGAGCAACTGTGAGGTCATTTTCAGCAAACAGAAAGTGGCAAAATGGCTGCCCCCTGAGATGGCTAAAAACAACGGGTGGATTTAGCTGCTTAACCCATATTCCTCATAAACAATATGAATCAGAATGCCGTGTTTACATTAGTGAAGGCACAAAGAACATACTACTGTAAAGACATTTTTTGGGTTGACTTCCCCTTTAAACCTTGAGCGGAGGTGGGTAGTAATAAGTGCCGCAACAATTAACCTTGACTACAATTAACTTAGTCGCTTTACTGGTTACTTGCTTTTAAATGTAACTCAGTTACTTAACTAATTACTTGAGTTTAAAAGTAAAAGTAAATGACATGTTACTTTAATAGTTACATTCAACAGATATTGACAAGACTGCTTAACATAACATAAAATAACACCTGGTTTTGCCACTTAATTGGAAGTGCATTTTTAACTGTAACATTTAAAAATGCAGTTTGTTTTCATTAAAAATAAAATAAAGAGAATCTTTTTGACTTATTTTTACTTAAAAAATAATGAGTCTTTTGTGGATTTCACACAACATTAAAGGGCTACTTGTTTTTTTTTTTTTTTTTAATAAATATATTTAAGAAAGGGCCTTATCACGTAACATACATTTTTAATAAAGAATAAAAGAAAGGCAGTCTATTTTTACTTACTACTTTACTACTATTAAATTATAATGTACATTGTTTATAGATATTAAATTTGGGAACCTCCCGCAGTCACACAATCTGGTGGGACTTTCTCATTGAAGCTAGATATCACTCCGCCGACTACACAAATTGTACAACAAACTGACACAAACTCAAACTGGTGATTGTATTTCCATCTTCAAAACACAGATCTCTCTACTTTCATATGAACACATGAGTCGTCTACACACTCAAAACGTGACACAACGCATACATGACGTCACTCCTTGAGACAGACAAGTTAAGTGGAAGACTCCTACAATGCCCCTCTATGTTCTATCCTGGTAAGGTTATGATTATTTTGATGAATAAATTCCGTCTCGGCTCATTTATATTTTTGTCTGTCAACAGTACACTGACTTAATAGAATCCCACATAAAGGAGAAGGTCTCTTTCTTTGATGAACTTCCTTTAAAGAATGGAAAAGTAACAAATTCCATTGTTGTTTTAATTATTTTTACATTAGGATGGAGAAAGATTTTTTTGATATAGTTTTAGTAACAAAGTAGTTGGAGGACAATGGGTGAATTTGCACATAAATGTTTATTTTTACTCTGATAAAGAAAATATTTTGGAGGGGCGGGTGGCAAAATCTTTGTACCTTAGTTTTCTGTGCCAAATGCATGAAACGTGCTCACACCAATGGGTAATAATGATGCAGTAGAGACCTTTAGAGACTACAGGAGTATTAAAAAAAACTGTTGAAATCTGAGCAACAATGGAAAAGGCAAACCAAATTATTTGTCCAGTTCAAGACAAAACCCACACACATGAAAGCAACACGGTAAACACAACTGTACAAAATCTTCTTCCATTGAATTATTCATCATTGCCATTTTATCATTGCTTGGAAGGTGAACGTGGGCCTTTTGTGAAAAACTGGCCAGGCTTGTCAGGGTACAGTGGAAACTGATAAGCGGCTTAAGCCACGGGAACACGGGTACAAAGATGATTGAAACCTAGACCTGCACCCCCCCCCCCCACAGCACACAGAAAACTATGTTGCTGAGAAATCCTAAAGGAAATCCTAAAGGACATCATTCTACACATCAATTTATTGAAGGATAAGAAAACAATTGACAAAGATCTTATTTCCAAACTGCTAAAAGGTTGCAAAGGGAGGGCAGACAAGAGGTGTAAATTCTTCTTACTTTCAAAGGATGGTATGTATATACTCTACCCACTCTTCAGTAAAACCACCATTTACAATCACTTGGTCAGTATTATTATGATTTAAAAAAATAAATAAAAATAACAGAAAGCACCAAGACCAGAGTACTCATGCAATGACAAACACACATAAGCAATTACTCACTTGTGATACATGCGGAGGACATCATACAAGTAGTCCTTCTCTGCCTCATTTTCAATCAACAACTCCACCTGCAAGACAGTGAAAACATTCCTAACCACTGCATGAGGTGAGACATGTCATAGCAGGAGTCGTACTACAAACCTTATGACGACTCAGATGTCGTAGGATGGTTTTTAAGAAGCGCTTCGGCCAGTCACTAATGTAACACATTTTCCTTGTTTACAATTCAGTATAATATGTATAACTTCCCTGCAAGATTAAGATTCCACTAACATTCTTAGTTTTTCTGAAAAGTTAACGCTATGTTGAGCATGATGAGGCTTCTGTACTGAAGGAAGCTTTTAGACTGCAGGTCCTCTCCCAACAAACCACAGCAATGGAATAATAGCAGTACAGTAGGGGAGGCTGGAGAAGGAAGGTCAGGAGTGTCATCTTACATCTCAGACACAGGGGTAAACAGTCACACTCTGAAGTCATTCACACACAACTTAAAAAATGCACAAATAATGTACATGAGACGAATTACTGCTCAAGATAGATCTACCTATGTTTCAAAACATGGAAACTTCGCCTTATACAGGCGCACTATTGTGACAATTATGTGTCACTGGATCTATAGGGGCGGCACAGTCGTTGACTGGTTAGCATGTCCGCCTCACAGTGCAGAGGTGCAGGGTTTGATTCCGACTCCGCCCCTCCTGTATGGAGTTTGCATGTTCTCCCCGTGCCTTCGTGGGTTTTCTCCGGGTACTCCGGTTTCCTCCCACATTCCAAAAACATGCATGGCGGGTTAATGGAACACTCTAAATTGTCCCTAGGTGTGAACGTGAGCCCGAATGGTTGTTCGTCTATGTGTGCTCTGTGATTGGCTGGCAACCAGTTCAGGGTATACCCTGCCTATTGCCCAAAGACAGCACACCCACAACGCTTGTGGGGATAAGTGGATTAGAAAATGGATGGGTGGATGGATGGATGGATAGATGGGTGGATCTACATGCCGTTTATGACAGCCATAAACGTCTTTCTACACTCCTGCCTGCACAGCCCACGGACTTTGACACCATAAACCAGTAACAGAAAGGATGGTCAGCCACACACAGCCATTTTGAAAAAGTGCCATGTGTGGTTAGTAGGCTCCTGTTATCATTTATTTATTTTTATACATTGCAGCAGGGAACTAGTCATCGTTCCCCACTGCAATGTATAAAAATGAACAGATCTCAACCTCCCAAACAAATGTGCATTCAACAGTCGTGCAATTACACATAGCGGGCCTACTCAGTTGAAACTCAAAGAAACACCGAGGCAGAACAACACAGCAATGAACAAAGCCTCTCCTCATTCAGCCTCTAATTAAACCCTTGAATTCCCAATTTATTCCGGCTCAGATGCTCATCTTGGCACATCTACATTATTCAGTGTCGGTTTGCCCTTTATCAGGAGCCACTGTGCGTCTGAGTCCAGCACAGATGGTTGTATGGTGATATCCATCACGTACTGAGGGTAAAAACACTCAAGCCATATCACATTCCCTTCCTCTGTTGTCAAACTTAGCTTTTAAGAGCTATTTCTGTGATGCATGGAAAACTAAAATGCCTGCTACATTCGCATAACATTTTATAGAACATCATGCATGACGAAAGAAACCAGAAAATAGAAATAATAATTTCACTGTAGTAATTTATTTAAGTAAGTTATTCTGAGAATTAGAATTCAGTACCCAAAAACCTCAACTATATGTACTGTAGAGCAATATTTAGGTCTGCTTTTTTACTGTCGGATTAGAAAGTATTCCCGAAATCTCCCAGTATTTATCTAAGAATCGTAATGTTTAAATAAAAAATAAACGTATGTTGATTACTTACTGATTAGACAGGGTTTTTTTAACTTTCAGCCGCACAGGTAGACTTTCAATAAATGACATCTTGTAGCGTGAGATAAACAACTGAAACATGTTTTATGCCTTACCTTGTGCCTGAATTCACGAGCAACTTTGCGCTCCATTGCAAGGAAGGAGAAACGAACAAGTTTTAGCCAACGAAGTGACGTAAGCTGCCTGTGAGGGTTAAATTTGACCCTAGTAAACCCAGGCGAGTATGTAAAGGTACTATTAGTACAGTATAACTTCCGGCAGTGATTTCACAATAAAGAGAATTAAAACGGGAACATTATTGACCCAGAAACAGAGGAAACTGTATTTTGATTATTTTATCCGGGTTATTAAATAGTATTTGAAGTAAATCATATGCGTTATTGCATGTTTTCCAAGAAACCCCCAAAGTAAGATTTCATTTTCAATCAGGTCTGAACTACTTTCATTTTAAAATCGTACACGTCACAACATCCTCAACATCTGAACGCGCAATCCATAGTCAGATAAGCATACGTAAAAACCTTTATCCGCGGTCTCTAGATTGGGCGAAACATTTTGGAGAGAAAAAAAATGACTGAATAAATAAACGCATGCATGAAGAACAAAACATAAATTATACTGTAGGACCTGTAAAACTCTAAATTTACTTGTGGTAGACCTAGGAGTAACACTAATACAGTATAGCATTTTTGTATTATTGGTATTGTTATTATTGTTGTTGCCGTTTATTTTGACCAACTACATTTGTTTACGTTGTCGTAGGTTGTTATTATTTTATCTACCGCTATTTGGCGTAGTAGTTACCACCTCTCCCGTCTCAACCCAAAGACGACGAATAAGTATAGACTTCCGGGTTTCAAACTGCTACAATTGCAACGAACAACAAGAGACATCAGAACAGCTCTACGGTATGTGACAGTTGAGTAATGTTTAATCATGAGTCCTAATAATCCAGACGTCTTTTTATTTTCTACATCAGAAATATTATCTTCAAGACGTACGCAATGTAGACGACAAGTACCACTTTTTGCAGACATTACAGTGATATGGTCCTTATTTACATTGATACCGTTAAGTACAAAACAACTTCTCTGCTCAATCAATACATCTGCACGACGGATGCGCGTACTGTTAAGCATCTGAAATGCTGTCTTATATATTGTCTCAAAGTAGAGCAGTTCAAAAGTCCCGCTTCTCCAGGCGCCCTGTAAGTGGAAGTGAATCTTTATCTCCGCCTCCTCGGTTTAAACGACATGAACGCCTCTTTGTGTTTGTGATTACCAATTGAACGTTTCATTTTATGCATTCGGAATTGTATTTTTTTTTCTGATTTGATATTTCATGTTTTTGACAAAAATAAAATCGAGACGCACGAAAATGTTAATACGACTAAATAGTACAGTACTTTTTCCGGTCACGATGTTAACCAAAAATGAGTCAAGGCAACATGATGTACTTACCTAACTAGATTGTGAAAGTGGGCATAATGTTCTGACTAATCGGTATTAAATAAATAATAAAAATACGTCTGCTGTCCTGCAATTGGCTGGCTACCAGTAAAATGTTGCACCTCGTCTCTCGACAGTCAGCTGCAATGGGCTTCACCTCCTTGCCCCTAATGAGGACAAGCGCAACAGAAAAGTAACAGTTCATTTGCTTCTAGGTAATATTTTTCCGACATGAGTTTCCACCTCTCCATACATTTTATAAAAGAAAAAAAACATTTAAATATATATGCACTGTATGTCACTGGTGTTGTTAGGTAGAGTCTTATGCCACAAAAGATCAGTCAATCATTCGTAAAAAAAAAAAAAAATTATATATATATAGTTATTATAATAATAACATCCCCTTATGTGGTCTGACCAATCGTTTAAGTTTGCGAAAAAGTATGAAATTCATATATGTATGTATACAGTAAGTTGTTTCACACAAGGTTGAATTTACGGTGTCTGTTGATGTTAGTTGACAACATTAGAGTAGTTTAGAATATGTAGAAAAAAAAGTCAGTTTTCAATGTCGTTAATGTTTTTTCTGACTACCAAACATCTGACTTGGCATTGTACATTCATAATTGTGCGTGATTTTTTTTTTTTGTATACTGTATATTATTTGCGGCATAGTACATACGCTCTCTCTTATATTTTTAGTTTTGCCTTCAGATGGGATCTCCCAAAAAACCTTCAGTGGCACAAAGGTATTTTTTTTAATATACACTACATTCTTAATCATGTATTACCATGCTTAGGTTTGGTCTCAATTGATGGCTATGTCTAGATCATATAATATTCTTTTTATGTTGGTGGATTATGTAATACTAATATACAGAAGTATTCCACTCCAAAGGACTGACACGTCTTTCTTGTTGCAGATCCTGTGCCTGTGTGAATAATTCTGGGAAGGAAACAGACTCCCCACTTCCCCCTTTCAATGAGCGGTTGGCCCACCTTCGGCCCTCCAGAGAACTTTTGGAGTTCTACAAGGAGAAGATTGCCCAGTTTGATGGAGAGCACGGGCAGCTGCTGAAGGTGTTGGAGAAGTACAAGAGCATCATAGAGGACCAAGTGAGCCAAAGTGACGGGCTTTTGATTTTGATTTTACAGAAGATATGTTCCTATGTGCATTAATATCCGTTTCCCAGCATAAACTACTGGGTGACTTGCGGCAGCGTGAAGGGGAGATTGCAGAGTTGCAGAATGCGTTGAGTGACATGCAGGTGTACCTCTACCAAGAAAGAGAACAATCTCTACGGCTTCATGCAGAAAATGACAGACTAAAGATCAGGTGGGAGCAAAACCAGAGCAAATATTCTTCAAAAAAAAGCATTCTTGGCTCGCTGGAAGGCACTGTACAAATCAAAGTTATTATCATTCTGGCCTCTCAAATTCACTGTTTATTCGTTATTTTGACAAAAGAATAGCGTTTTTGGTGTCTTAACATGCCCCCAAAACTAAAATGTAGCCCCTCCCCCCAAAAGAAAAGTTTTTTGCAAATGCATTTACACTTGTGTGTGTGTGTGTGT